GAGACGGTCACCTCAGGGAAGAAGAAAAAGAAACAGAAAATGGTCCGAGCAGACCCAAGCCTTTTAGGTGAGTTCGAACGTCCAGTTAATAAATGGAAAGAACATCTTGGTTTCATCGCTATTGTGTACTAAGTCCTCTACTCTTTTCATTTTTCTTTTTCAAATGTTAGGTTTTTCTGTGAATGCATCATCTGAGAGGTTGAATATGGGGGAAATCGAAACCTTGGAGGACTTGTAAGGGACTGCAGCCGAGCAAATCCCAGTGACTGTATCCAGTTTGAACAGCAGCTGTTTTACCTAAACCCCCCTCCTGGTCTCCAAAAAATGTTTCTTTTGTTGTTGTTTCCCCATCAATCTTTTTCTCTTTTTTTTTTTTTTTTTTTTCCCCACTGTCTTGCAAACTGGCCTATAGGTGGAGCAAACTAGTGAATGAACCGTCTGCCAAGCCAAATTGGCCAGATCTCTTTTTCCGTCAGTTTGATTTGAAAACACTTCCGACAAAATGTCAAATTTGGGCTCTATAGTATGTGGATTTTGTTTAAGAGTGGATATTTGGGTTTCATAACATGTTAAAGGATAGAAAAAATACTTTTGTTTTATTTTTAAACCCTCACTTCACCCCCTCCCCTCATTCACCTTTCCCCCTTATTTGTTCAGCTGGTTGTTCATGGATACTAACGGCAAAGTAGAGCCCAAGGATTCATGCCCACTTATGTCCTGTTTTAAGGACATGTTCAAAAGTTCCAACTAGTTATCTATTTCTTGTAAAATACTAGGCTGTTAAAAGAATAAACTTTCAATTCTGCATCTGTATTATAATATATGAGAAGGATCTGCTGGAGTCATACTTTTTTATTGCGGTATGGAATAATAAAACAGTCTTATGTTTGGGCTGTTCACATGTGTGTCTGAACGATTCAGTAAAACCACAAATGTGCAAATCCCCACACTACAATACATGACACTTATAAGGAAAATGGGAATAAATGTCTCACTACACTATACACAAATACTGCTACAAGTTATTTTGGTCTTAAAAATAAGCATAATTAATCGCTCTCAGCTTTTAAATTTGTCTGAAGTTTATGTTCTCCTTGGTAGGGGGCCTAATTGCAAAAGAAAAAATGACATAAATTTTATGAGTATATTAAAATGCATAATAAACCATTAGTTATTAAAGCAAATATAATTAAGCAGGCAATTTGAAATTTGAAAGATTGGAGAACGATCATACACAGCTTCTTGCAGTGACTAAAGATTTAACTATTGAATGGCCACTTCCTCTGGAAATGTAAATTGTATTTTTTTGGGGAAAAGTAAAAGAATTCACCAGAGGAAAACCTTCACGGTCCGATAGGTTCTGATGCCAGAAAAATCAGCTTGAGAAGAGTCTCATTGAGTCACCGCTTCTAATGAACCGGACCGGGTCCCTTGACCTGCGGTTCTGAACGTCCCGCTTTTCAGCTCAGTGGGCGGAGAATATCTGCATGACCTCAAGGCCGTCTTTCCAGGGACACAAAGAATGTTTTCATCTCAACGCAGGTGTTGGAAGATTTCGCAGTTTTTCTCCTTGGACTCGCAGGCGATCCAAAAACTATTTTGCTGTAATGTTAAAGGTTTGGTGAATGAAACCAACACAACATCCTGGCTCGTCAGTAACTACAAGTTTTTGCCACGTCTGTGTAGATGACAAAAAAAGATCTTTCAAAACCTTTTGTGAAAGGTTCGTCTTTCTATCCGGAGAAACGTAACAAAATATGCATTACTATTACTGTCTGTTCCTTCAAAGTCTGACCTGCACAGAGTCTTGGCAGAAAAAAAGTTGTTTTGATACCTATTTATGTATATACACTTAACATGCTTTCTACATTTTCATCACACCATTGAGTTTTGGACAAGTGATGTCTCGTCAAAGCATTTTTCACCAATCTTAGAACAGTGCTTACATCTGGAAATTAATAATTGAAGTGTCTTCAAGGTTGTTATTTGTGCATTTCTTCATGCTGCCCATCTCTTCTGTGCAGAAGTAAGACTGAAGGTTAACATCAACACTGCTGTGTAGTGATAGACAGTTAAAGGCATGAAGTTTTCTGATTTTATTTGATTGGAAGGGATATTAGTCTCAGTTTTTAAGCTTCTGATTTTAAAGAAAGTAACTTAAAACATTTCTTGTACATTTCATTCAGTAATAAACATTTTTGTAATCCTGAGCTAAAATAGGAGAGATTTAGGGCTATTTGCCATCAGACTGGGACGACAACTTGTCTTTTTACTCAAAGTATGTAAATATCCAGTTTTAACTATTTATGAATGGCGGTTGTGTAATCTTTATCTGATTAGTTATGAAGTTCAAAATACTTCCCAATATTTCACTTTTTTAACATTAACCGGCTCCTTGCTTCAGTTGGCATTTTTCTTCTGACATTTATTTCCACTGTGGCTTTGTTTCCACATCCAAGATTAGTTTTTGGTCGTTAAACCACAATGCGTCGTCACAAACATCTGATAAGGTCTTAGGAAGTAAAACTCGTGTGTCCATTGGGCTGCTTATAGCAGAGGAAAGGAAAACCACAGACTGGCATGCTGTCAGTTGTACCGCCATGAAAACAAATCACTAGTCAGCTGACACCTAAAAGCTAAAGCAAAATGGAGAAGCGGTTGAATTCTGTAGAACAAGTAGCAAGATAAACTGATTAAAAGTTAAGATAACTGATCACTAATTGCTATATTTTGACCTGATTATATAAAGTTGGCTATAAATTATGTTGTAGTTTTATAATACGTAGTATTACATAATACACAGTACAAAACATGTAATACTGTGTGATTTATATTTTCTCATTGACTTAGTAATTAAGCCACTATTAGTTTTCAAAAGCTGAAAGGTAGAAATGTGCTCTTTAAAAATGGTGCTATCCACTGATAAATGCAGAAAAGTGTACTTTACTTGATTTCTGCACAAATCCTGAAAACTATTCAAAACTAAGAAGCTTATCCATCACCTACAACGTATAAACATAGCCAAAGTCAGCAACTACATTTGTAATCTAAGCAAATGTCTGAACTTTAACCAGCTGTACTTTACCAGACCTACCAAAAAGGGATCGCGTGTATTTGGCTGGATCACAAGTTCAACACACTCACAGAAATAAAGTAAGAGGATCTAACAAGCACAAAATAAAAACACGAGTAGATGCTCCGAAAATGATGTGAAATATTTACATTTGGTAAAGTGTAGTTCAACCATTAATGGCTAATAAAGGCACAATTTTGTTGTGGAGTTTAAGATGATCCAGTAACATTTACAAATCACTTTCAACTTGCCACACATTTGAAAATATATACATGTTTTATTAAAACATTAAAAAAGTTCAGGTACATTTTTCTCAGCCACCTCAAGTTTCCTGCGCTAACCCCAGAGCTGATAACATTTACACTGTAAGAAAGCTCTGATGCAGAGCTGTGGGTGTTCCTCACTCAATGTAGTTATCAGACGTGCACAGTTACACTCTTTACTTCTGCTTCCTTTTACTCTGAGACAGGACAAGATAAGAGACACAGATGCTATCTGAGGTAAAGCTAGATTAAGAAATTATCTAGAAGTGACACATTCAGTCTAATAAAGACAATAGAAATGTATCTAAAAGTTTACGTTTAGATTTAATTGCACTCGTGTAATTAAATCTACACAATTTGATATTTGTTAATTTAATTAACAAATATCTGGGCTAGAGTTCTTGCTTTGTTTTTTTTTTTTCTAGGAGTAATATGCCACTTTGGAGGCTCCAGGAGTCGGAATATTTTTGGGAGACTGAAAATGCAATGAAGTTACTCTTGTTTTATTGCTAATTGCTCTCAATGAGGCTATATTTAAATCACAAAAGGAACTAGCAAATCTCCACACATTTTTCTGACTCAGACTTAATAACATAAAACGTCCTGGCCTAACACTTTAATATGGATATGTGTGTGCATCTGCCAAAACTGGCCATTAATTTGTCAATAATGACACTGCTCCAGGGAAAATTTGAGAAATCTCTTTCGTTCAATTCAATTTGTTCTCAAGTCGTTAAGAGTCAGTATGAGACATCGACAGCATGACTGACTCTGTTCTTCCGGCCTGGAAATATGTCGAAATAGTCAAATTTGTCATTCTTGTAAGCATAGCTGACTATGTTTATCTTAGTCCAGTTAGCTAATTATCGATGCACAGCTCCACATGGGGCAGTGCAGCATTGTTCTGCGCCCCATACAGCCAGAGATGGCTTCATTGTTGGCTCTGGCTTTGATTGAAAGCCACGCTCACACAAAAATGAATCCAATGTCTCAGGAGCACATTACAAAGCAACAAAAACTTATAGAAGTAGATATTAATATCATTACTTTTACAGGGTTTGACATACAAGGATGAATAATAACAACTGCTGTCGACTGATTCATGGAGAATTGTCTTTTAGCTCAGATGTTTTGTATGTAGTATTGACCAGTTTACGTACAATTCTGTTACCTAAATCAGTGGTTCCCAAAGATTATCTGGCCCCCCATTGGATTAAAATCCCCTGAAAAAATGGAAAAAAAATAATCTGGGCACACAACTAACCACAAACTTATACAGATATTTTGTTTTCAAACTCCACTGAAGTTTATTTCACCCTTCAGGTTGCAACAAAACACTACAAACCATCTTTACAGTGAAACACTTTTGTGTAACTTTTTTTTTTCATACATCTACACCGCTTCCCGTACCCCCACCGTCCCCCACGCAATGGCACTGTGCACCCCACGCTTTGGGAACCACTGACCTAAATTGAGTTATTATAGCTGATAAGATAGTGTAAGTTAAGTTTTCCATCGTCTGTTGCTGGTTTTCAGTCAGCTGTATCTGTTTCGAGGTTGAATGTGTACAATTTTGTTTAGAAATCTTTGTGATTTAATCCGCACACATTCATCTATTCAGATGTTTGCCCATCAAGGCGAACTGTTCGTTCAGAGGTGTTTTAGGGTGGGTTGGCCCTGTGCATTTCCACAGAGTGCACACTGTCCGGATAGGCCTGCACACACCTAATCCCACCTCTTCTCTCACTGCCTCACCTCAAGACCTTTCTCCCTTTACGGCCCTCCTGTATTCCTCTTTTTTTCCCCCTCCTGGGTCAGCGACTTGCTGGAAGCTCCGGCCCGAGGCGTTTTGAAGACGCTCAACTGTTGCAGTTGCCATGATTCGCAGCAGCGTCTGCAGGGTTCTCCTGGTCCTCTTCAGCCTCCTGTCAGTTCTTGCACACACAGGTAAACCTTATTTCCGTTATTGTTTTATGCTGGTGATCAGGAGGGCACTTGTCCTCCTTCTGGAAATGCTAAGTGGAAAATGTACTAAAAGGACAAAATGGTTTTGCCTTTTTCATAATGGTCTTAAAGGGCCTTTCGATTAGCCCTTTAAGAGTTTGCTAAGTTTCTTTTCTCTTACACTACAGGTGTTTTTCTTTGCCGTTTTTAAGTTGAAAGTGTGTGAATTTTGCCCCTTTCTTTCGATTCACGCGCCCCCTTACGTGCGTCGACAGAAGTAAATGATGTGGTTTTTAAAGCTGTGAAAGCTGCTCTGTGATAGCCAGGATGACTCAGTTGCTTTCATGAGGCCTGATGTTCGTATGAAGCTTTAAAAAAAAAAAAAAATCACTTCCCTCTTGCTGAACCTGAGCATAAGTGATTCAGATTGCCACCAGTTGATATTTTAGAGACATTTATAACGTGGGAAACATTTAGCTCAGCATCAACTTGTACGCATAGGAAAAAGTATTTTCTTTACCATGTCACCCTAATAAAAAACACACACATATATGTATATTCTTGGTAAACAATCTAATCTGTGATGGATAGAATCATTGAAATGGATAGTTTTTGTTTCTCATTCACTTTTCTTTTCTTACTGGGATTTTTCTTGTGTCATGATTGTCATGTGCACAGATAGCTGCCATCCAGTAATGCCACGGGACTTGACCACAATATCTGATATAGTGTGACTTCCAAGCCTCATCTGTTTATTCAGCATGAGGAACCGACATCTTGTATATGCAATGAAATCTTAGGCAACACAGTGTAATAATTTCCCAAGTTCCAGCTATGATTACCATTCAAAAAAACGGATCTGCCACTCCATATCTACAACACAAATGTTTTTTGTTTTTTTTCAAATAAAATATGAACAATGAATCCCATATTTTTTTATGGAAAACTTTACCACAACATGTGATAGTTAAAAAAGGGTGAATGTGGGGGACAGACGGTGACACCAGTTCTATGTTTTGGATGCATCGCTTGTACTTCCAAGGCTCTCTAAGGTTAGTTTTCACACACCCTTGTCTGGACTCTTGGTCATCTCTCTGGCCGGTGTGAAATCCTGATGGAGGAGCCCAGAGGTACCAACAAATGGCTTTCTGTGTTTCCACTGTCTGAAATCCTCCTCCCTTGCTGTCTGCCAAGTGATAACTTTTGATTTGTAAGGTGTGTCAGGGGAAGGGTTGCGTGATCCAGAGAATGCTTATGAAACAGGCAAACTGGGCCATAATCTAATCAGAATCTAATTATGCTGGCGAAATTATCTACTTTTCTCACTTTGCAAAACAAAATCAAGAGCTAGATACCGATCTCAAAATTGTGTGGGTGTCAGAAGAAGAAGAAAAGTGCTGTACAAGTGGAACATAATCCCTGTTAAATCTGCAATTTCTAGTGCTTTTGCTGAGATTAGACAGCCTGCGCTGCACAACAACTTGCACAGCTTGCGCTTGTTGTTGTGCGGCGCAAATGTGTCAAGAGTAGTTAGCTGTTAAGTATGTTAAGTAGTTAGCATAACGTTATCAAAACAATATGTACATTTATAAGCAAAAAATATTTTGAGCAATCTGAAAAGCAAGTTGAAATAGCTAAAATCAAAGCTGACTTTGTGCTTCCATTTGGAAACAAGTTCATAACCAGACATTATGAATAAAGACAAAACACACTGCAATGCAACAAATAAACAGATGTCCATTCAAACTCAGTAAAACGCCTTCTTTTACAGACATTATAGCTAGATTATAATCAACTACAAAGCTAAACACATAGCTCAAGAGATACTTTACGTTAGTTAAACATGATGGTGACATTTTGGAATTAGGCACACTAACATTTACAACAAAGTAGTTTAACGAGCTAAAACTAAAGACAACTAAAATTGCCACTGTGGCAAAAACGTATCTATGGTTAGTTACAATTCATGATGAGTTTTGGGGCTAAGTTATCAAAAGAGGACATGAACATGCCTAAAATTGGTAAATGGGAGTAAATAAGCAACTAAACAGATGCACTTAAAATATATATATACATACACCAGTTTCAATACCATTTAAATCACCTTAACATTTAGTAATTATCAACAATTTATCATCTTTTATACTGAATTCAATACCATGATGAAAAGAAAGTAGATAACCTGCTGAAAAGACGGTAAAAACACTAAAACAAGTAAATTAAAAGCTAGACATTTGCTGGCCAGTGAGAATGACGTAGTTGGGGAAATAACTTCCTAAGCAGTTATTTGTTAATATACCAAATTTCAAAGATTGTGATTAAGAATTGAAAACAGCTTAAAGTTACACAGTTATGAACATCATAATTTTGTGTAATTTTGAAGAAATTTACATCTTGCATTTCATCTGTAATATTTAATAGGTTAATTTGACCTCCAACTGCGCGAGTAAATACATGTAGGGTTGATGACACATTGAATTAAATTATTTCACCACTGAAAGTTTTGAGTAAACCTCCTCTCATAAAAACAAACAGCTAGAAAGTATGGAAAACATAATTTGATTAATGTCTTTTATGCTTCCATTCAGTCATAAAGTTCAGAAGCCATTTCAACACACAGGGTCTATTTAATAAAAAAAATTTAAAAAAAGTTTGTTTGACATCCAGTGCAGAGGCTTTAGCTGCTTTTGGCCTGTCCGGCTGTTACTGGTTGAAGCCTGCTGGTCCGTTTGGCCGCACAAGCTGCCTTTTGTGTCGTCGGCTGAAGGCCTCATTGATGGCTGAACTGGCCACAAGCCTGGGCCTCCAGACCCAAAGCCAGCCGCAGGACAGGAAGCTGCTCATAGCTCAGAGTCAACACGACTGCATCAAAATACTCGCATCAAAAGTTGACGTTGGGAATGTTAGCAGATGCCACATCTGACATCTCGTTTAAAATCTTTATGCCATCGTAGTCACGCACTTTAGTTCCTCCATTTGGTTCTGACTAAGGATATGAATTATCATGCGATAAAAAGCGAGTCCGTTCAACAGAAACTACAGGCTGAACGCAGATATATTTTCATTATGGTTGCGCTGGAATGCGTGCAGTCAAGAACTGGAGAAGTTAATTACTTAGTGTCTGAAAGTTTTTTTTTTCAGTTGGGATGATTAAAACTTTTCCACGTTTCCCTTGGAGTTAAGAGCAAAGTTTTCCTGTTTGTCTACTGCAGCGATGGTAAACACCACAACCAGGAAACCATTAAGGTTAATTATTTTTACCCTTTATCTTGACATTTTCATAAGCATAACTCTAAATGTTGCATTAGGAAACATCAAAATGTGTCTCAGAGAAACAGCTTTTGTTCCTCTCCCACCGAAGTGTGAAAAGTCGCGTGTTTGAAGCAGAGGAATGTCAAGACGAGACCGAATTTGGACGGGCAGAGAGAGAAAGAGAAGGAAGAAGCACAGAGTTTGATGCTTTCAGTCTGTTTGTTTGCTCGGAAATTTAGTGGAGCCTTTAAAAAAAAAAAGCACCAGGCTACCTGTGGGTCAACCTGAGAAACTGTCTGTCCATCACAAAGACACGTTTATACTCAGAGCTCGTCTAGACAAGAAACCGACTGTTTAAAGAGTTACAGAAGAGGCTATGCAAGCTGCTGTTCATACCCAGAGCTGACAAAAAGGCCATAAAAAAGCATAAAGATGTACCTCATCATGAGTTCTGCAGTTGGCTGAACAAGCTCGTGTTGTCATTTTTTTTTCCACCTTCTCTGTGCAGAGACAGTGTTGGACTCTGCCTTATCCAGCAGGGACCACCAGGATGCCATGTCTGGAGACCCACCAGTGTGGGTCACTGACGTCACAACGAAGAGCCATTTCCTGGACAACCCAGGACAGACTTATTCCTTGGACTTAGAAGACTCCACACAGCCTCCGATCCTGGACGAAGACGAAGGTTAAAAATTAAGATGGTGGATGATGGCTTAGAAATGTATATATGAACCTAAATTAAAAATGTTTGTTTTTGTTTTATCTTTTAACTTATGTCATGTTTCCAGATAGGTTCTGTCAAAAATAATTTCATTGATTGCATTATTGTTGTGGCTAGTGAAATTGAACTTGAGCTTTCCAAAACAATCAGAGTGAGTTAATATATTTCCATCAGGCCAGTTAGTTTTGATCATTCTTTTTATTTGTATTTATTTTTTAATTATCATTTTAAAATAAGCTAATGTTTGTGTCTCTGCGTGTTTAGGAGTGCTGGGACCAGGTGCCATCACTGCCATAGTTGTTGCGGTCTTCCTGGGAGCATCAGTCCTCCTCGCACTCATCGTCATCACAATCAGGAAATTCACAGCCTCCTAGAGGGAAAGAAAGCATCTCCCTTTTTGTATGCGTGCGTGTACGCGTGTTTGAATTGCATGAGTGTGTGTGTCTTTTGTCTTTCTCATCAAACCCTGAGCTCGCCCCCTCATATTTCGTTTTGAGATGAGATGCTTTGTAGCCTGAAAGCTAGAAATTGTGGCAGGTCCGTCAACTATAAATAAAACACCCCGGTTGCGTCTCGGCGTGGATGAATCATAAATACTGGCTGGCTCTACCAGTGCTTATCGCAAGATGGTGTGTTTGTCGGTTGTGCTCTTTTTATTTTTCTTGTAATTATACTCATAAAAGTGTGTTATTTGTTCTCCATAACTTCTTACATCTTGTTTCTGTAGAGTAAATATAAAATCAGACTTTGGATGAATGTTCTGTTCAACTCCTTAACATGGTATTTTTTTCTATTTATCTCAGAGTTTCTAGCCAACCATTTAGATGTCACTTACTTCTTTTTCATTGGATATATAAAAACAATGAAAGATTTTGACTGGTGAGTGTTTTTTTTTTTGACATATCACAAGTGAATATCAACAATTCTAGAGAATATTTTGCATTCTTTAATTATTTGATTATTCCTAATTGTTTTAATTCAATTAAATGTATTTCAAATAAACCTAGGCGTCACAGCAATACTGTGATGCACAAGTACATTTCAAGCAAAGTAGCGAGATAAGAAGTAAAATGAGAATAACTAAATCATTTTAAAAAGTTTTTTTTTAAGTAATAATGGCAGAAGGACCGATGAAGGAGACAAAAGTGAACCAAGGATCCACCAGTTGCACCATGACGTACTGCACCTGTGAATTGTAGGAATGCAAAAACAGAAGGTCGTCAGAATTATAGCAAAACTAATAACTATTATTGAATTATAAAGTGATTATAAGATAATCACTTTATAATTATTTTATAATCACTTTATTTTATAAAGTGATTATAAAATAATCACTTTATAATTCAAATGCAATTTTTATGGAAACAAACCATAAATCAGTTAAAGATCTAACCAGCATACAAACATAATGAATAATGTGCAATATACAAAAAGTTCTATTATTCTGTTTCACAAAAATAGTTTTTATGACTGTCCATAGAAATAGTTTGATTCTTTTTTTTTTTTTTTTGGTTCAATACAACTTATTTATTTAACATCTGTCATATCATTGAATTTTGTACAGCAAACTGCTCCAACTGATTTCCAATTATCCAGAAATATAGGGGATAGATCAGAATATAGTCCAGTCAAATTTAGTCTGTTTGATTGTCCAAAATGAAATAAGTCAATAAATGCAAAAAATATCAATCTGAAAGAAAAGATGGACAAAATTAAGCACTTTTAAGTGAATCAGAATTTGGATTAATAAACCAAAGAACATTTGCAGTACCCGGTTCACAGCAGCAGATGGCAGCGTGCTGAGCACAATCACCTCACTACATAGAAGAAGTTTCTTAGCTTCTTTTGAAGAGAAGGTCATTCTTAAAGCTTCACCTTCAATGAAGCTTCAAAGTTAGGATGTTTACTCCGTCTTCTTGATTTAGGAAGCTGAGACATCCATCTTTTGGCAATTAAACAGGAGCGCAGAGAAATTCTCACACTTAAAATTCAGTCAAGTCACTTCAACACTTGAAACCAGGAAACCCTCAAATATAATCACAGTCAAAAATCTGCCTCTGCAGCTTCTCAGAGTCACTTTCAGCTCAGAGTTCAGTCATTCCCTTTGATATGGGAGGCTGCAGACAAAATGCCAGCCCCTGTACCCAAACAGAAATCACAGTGAGGCCTCTTCCACACTGTATCACTCATTTCTGTTCAAAGATGAAGGTAAAACTGAGCAGAAAAGATGAAAGCATACGTGAACTGATACACAGAAATATTCAATGTTTAAGGCTCACATGTTTCGATATTAACAGAACAAAATAACAAGCTATGCAGAGATGCAAATTCCAGTTTGAGGAAACGGAAAAAAAAACAAGCATAACAATTCATAGGAAACCAGTGTCATTTACTAACAACCAATGTTTCCTCACTTTGATCCAGCTGAAAACACCTTGACTTCAAGTTGCTGGTTTGAGATAACTGCTTGGTACTTCTGGTCGAGCTTTGTGGTTTTCAGTGTAAAGTGTGCACGATATGGTTGAATACTTTGGAAGCTCCTCTTGAAAATAAACAGCAATTTAAATTATAGAAATGTCCTTTCCAGATTAATTATGTATACATATCTATATCTATACCTGTAGATATATATATATGCATATGAAGTACATTTTTGTATGATCTCTTTTTTTCTCCAACAAAGAGTGGAAAAAAATTCACCAACAATTGAGTAACGCATTTTACAATAGGCTGAGGCAGGAGAAAAGTGGCATCTAAAACACATTTACTGGCAACTAGACTTTCCATCTGTGCAGACAGTTTTATCTTTTTGTCACTTTGTAAGTGATCGTTTACATTGGCAGCACCAAGTGTGGCAGTTTAAGACTTGCTGGACAAGTTCAGTTTAAAAAAACACACACACATCTGAGCAAACATATATGTGTGGCATGACGCAGGAAGTGGTGATGAAACAACAAAAGGCAGAAAAGCAGAAGCTGTCTGGCACAGCAGAGACACTCAGAAAGAGACACCAAAATTCCTCTTTGACAATCATGAGGTAAGAGCAAGACTATATTTCAATTTTCTACTGTACTGTTACATTATAAACAAAGCAAGTAAAATTCTTCATGCGTAGCAGCGGACGGCTGTATTTACCTGCTGGGATGTTTTCGGAAGGTAGACGGAACTGTTTCTACATAGTTAGTAAGAATTTACATGCAAAAGACTTAATTTAGCAAGATTAATGGTCTAAGAAATTCTGTGTATATATATATTTGAAAAGTACTCAATCTTGGTCACCTTGGTATGCTGCTTCTGCAAGAATAATTTCCTATGGTTTCTAATTTTAAACATTTAAACTAAGTAAACACCACAAATTAGTTATACATTTATTCCAGATCTGTCTGTTGATAGAATGCTTCACTTTTCTTCTTAGATTAAAAATAACTTTGTTGTGCCAACTGCTGAGCCACAGCAGTTGTCAGCAGACTAGTGCAGGAAATCAGTCCCTCTGTGTATTCCACTGAGCGTCAGTCTAAGGCTCGATGCGACTCCTGATGAAAACACGCACTCAATAAAGTCTTAATTATGATTCTGCAGATTCGTAACACTGAAGTGTCGGTGATTTCCACCGCAAATTAGAACTCACCTCAATCTAGATCTCTGTTCACTCTGATTCAAAATAGCACCACCAATCTAGATGAAAGTAGTAGCATGTAAAAAGTTCCCATGCTACGTTGTGTCTGGTCTTGATGGCAGAAACACAAAAAGCAAGCCCGCAGCTCGCATACCCACACATCTGAGAAGTTTCAGTTGCCTCACTGACGTAGTTTATGTTCAGTGTTCAGTGTGGGAACTGGAACGGCATATTCACCTCAAAGAAACTTTCACAGTGAAATGTTTAATTTGAAAAATACTTGGGATGGATGATGAAACTGAATTAAAACTGTCTCCTTGCAGCAACAACAGCAGTAACTGCTCAACCAAAGAGGTGGACGATCAAATGAAATACTTGGAGCTCGTCATCTACATTCCCATATTCATAGTGGGGATGGTTTTTAATCTGGCGGCCCTGCTGGTTTACTGCCTGTGCTTGCGAAAGTGGACTGAGTCAACCATCTACATGACAAGCTTGGCTCTGATGGACCTCCTCCTCCTCTTGCCTCTACCCTTCAAAATGCATGCTGCATATCAGATGTGGCCGCAGGAATTCCAGCACGCTTGTTCATTTCTGGAAAACCTTTATTTTGTCGGAACATATGGCGGTATCTACATGATCATGTGCATAGGGGTTGACAGGTGGCTGGCAATATGTCACCCATTCAAAGCCAAGCAGCTGCGCTCCCCCAAGGCGGCTCTCCTCACCTGTGTGGGGGTCTGGGTCCTGACATTTACTGCAATCTTTCCAGTCACCTTCAACTTGAGGACAAAAGTTAACGAACACTTCCACTGCTTCCACCGATTTTCAGGAAATGGCTGGAGTCCCAAAGTGATCATCTGCTTGCAAATATTTGGTTTCCTGGGGCCTGCGCTCATTTTGGTGTGCTGTTCAGTTCAAATCATCTGGACCCTCCAGGAGTCCGGCCAGCGGAGCACCAAGAGCCAGGCCTGCGTCAAGATCATCTACAGCGGCCTGTGCGCTTTCTTGGTGCCGTTCACTCCGAGCCACCTGGCCATCTTCCTGCAGTTCCTGGTGAGACACACTTTTACATTAACAGCGTGAACTTAGCCGTAAAACGCACATCACTAAACTCTGATTCTATGAGATGGAGTTCAAGATGTTTTTCTGTAAACTTGGCGAGTAAATATCTAAAATTAAACGTACAGAAGATCATTTGAGTGACAGCCGACAGAGCTGACAATGTTTAATCGAATCAAGATTTGATTCAAAGGATATGTCAAAGGAAGCTATTTTATCTTAGCAGACAAGATTAACGTTTTGTGCACATGAAGTGTTTTTGTCTCACCACCTTTCTTTATGACAAACCAGAAGACTTACAGCTTTACTATTTTAGACACTTGTAAAATGACTCATTCTTGGGTGTTTCCTTTCTTCCTTGTGAGATTTCAAATTACGCCCATGCAGGCGTCAATGACCTTTGATTCTGTGTGAAAAATAGTTATACATGTCAACGCGACTCTTGCTTTTAGAATCACATTTATTTTATTATGATATTCATAAAAGCACATAAATACATTTTATGTAAATTAATAGAGATTTGTTCTGAGTACGACCATAGCCATTAAATACATATTAACTGTCAAACTATAGATATGATAAATATATACAAATTAAATTGAACACTAGCACTGTGTGTATTCTTTTTTGAAAGAATACACACAGTATTCAACTTATTTACTTATTTGTAAATAAGTATTTTCAAAATACTTATTTACAAAGGATATTCCTCAGGATTATGTCTTTAGCATTAACTACTCGTGACGCCTTCATAAATACAAAAATGTATGAAATTATGTGTGAATTTAAGAACATATAAAGTATATCATTCAGTTGAATATAACAATATTCAACTTTTGCGCATACCTTCAGGTACACCAGGAAGTGATTAAGGACTGCATCTCCATGAAAAGTATAAGCATGTTTTTACAGACGGCCATGTGTCTGTCCAACATCACCTGTTGCTTGGATGGTCTGTGCTACTACTTCATAGCTGACGAGGTGAAAAACACGAAAAACAACTTCAGGATGTCCAGACTGAGCCAAAGGAGAGGAAACTCCAGCACTTCAGAGGTCTGAATGCTTGAGAGCAACAGCTAAAGATAGGACTTGTGTGCGACGACCTGGGTCATGTTCACTGTTGTTTTGTTGTTGTTTTTGTTTCTGTTTTCTTTTCTGAGCTGGCCAGTAAAACAAGAGCTTTTTCAAGTAGCTCTTGAAAAAGTTAGGTTGGCATTTGACGCAACAGGAAGTGAACCAGGTCAACCTGCAATGAAAATTGACCAGCGAGCGGGAGCAGCAAGCCACCTGATGCATCTGTAACCTCAAAGAACGCCAATAACCAAAGTACGGGCAGCAGAAAAGAAAACTTCCACTACAGATGATGAAAAGAGGGTTTTTTTTTCTTTAGAGGTGGCTGAGAAAACTTTCTATCTCACTCCCTGATGAGAAACTGACTCGTGGTATGATTCATTTTAAATCTGCCACATGCGTGTTATTGCAGAGCTTTGTTGTTTTGATTCTCAAGAACAGTGGCGAAAAAAAAAGGAAGAAAGAAAGAAAGAAAAATTCCTTAAAACAAGACCAAACAATCACAGTTGACAAATATCAAACAATATTATTTCATTGGATATGCTTATTAAACTTTTGGTCAACTGTCTAAATGAATACATGTGCCATAAAAAGAACAAGTAATCCAAGTGGGAAGACTATTTCTTGTTCGATATTTTAAAAAGAATAACCATAGATTTTATTTATTTAATCTTCTATGTAACTAAATAAGTGTCAAAGGCACACTAATGAAGGCGTCTCAATATTTATTCATGATGTTCCAATACGGCAACACCAAATTCATCTGTGGTTTTGATAAACAATGCAATAAACATTTATTGATGCTAGCTGGTTACCAACATTAACCCATTAACAAATAGCTAAAACATTTTTGACTTTATTTTTATTTTTTGCTCTTTCTGTATATAACAAATAGTTTAAGTAGTACGGAAGAAATAACTGTGAAACTGAGCCTTAAATAATAGAGAGTATTGTGTTGGGATTATAAACATCTTCTTAAGTGTTTGTCTGTTTGGAATAAATTTTGACAGAAAGCTTTGTTTCTGTTCATTTCGCATTAGTTACACAATTACCGTCGGACTGAGACACAGCAATAAACAAATCATATGTTAATTATTAAACTCCCCTAAAATTCAAATGAAATATGTCAATTTTATTTGAAAAGAAAAAGCTGGTGCAGCAAAAGAAAATGAAAGAAAATTACGGTAGGAAATTCAGTAATGTTTTCTTTTTTTTTTCTTTTTTTTTATCCATCAGCTTAGTGAATTTTATATGTTGCTTGTTGGTAGTTAAAAAATTAATATGAATATGTATGTTAAAATAATTCACTTCAAATAGAACTTTTTAATTTTGGGCTTTTAAAGTTTTTAATTAAATAGCTAAAAACTATTTGTTGATGACAGTCGGTCTTCTGTGTGAGCTACCGGATAAGTTATGGGTCGACATCATAAACACTTAGAAGAAAAAGTTTTATTTATATGCGACCAATAACAAAAGTGTTTGTGCTGGCAAAACACTTTTGTTTAACATGACAACTTGAGACGTCTGCCAGTTTCAAAGTTATTTGAAAATGCTGTTATGCGATCATAGAATACATTTCTCAGAAATTATTTAAAAAGCTAGCATATCATGTTTGTGGTTCAAATATAGGTAATTGTTAAACAATTTGACTTTACAGGAAGGCATAGATTTTCAAATAAATTCGCCACCCTTTTTCTGAAACTGTTACTGAAGCTACCTGTAGTTAAGTGACTGTGTTAAACCCTTCAGTCAGCAAACCATCGAAGCCACAAATGTACAGACTGCAATGGGAACCACAGAAGGTTGTTTTGCTGGATTCTGTGACTTCGTTTTACTCTATTGTGATCGCACAGCGCCCTCGATATGTATTGGGTAGAAATGGAAACAGATAAATTCATGTTTTAACTGCATGTTTTGAGGGAACCAACTTTTAATATAAGGACACCTATTCAGCAGGAGAAAAATTGAAGTAGTTTTAGAACGCTATTTCATTTTTAGCATAAATTTCTTATAAGTCCAGTTCATCTGGGTTATAAATATAATGAGGCAGAGGCTGCTTCTCCTATCCATGCTCTTCAAAATAGGAGGGAAAAGAAGTTAATGTTATTCAAATGAGGCAGATTTGTGTTGAATTTTGTGAGTTGGGAAATAGTTATAAGAAAGTCTCCAACCATCTAAACAGACACACATCGACCGTCAGTGTAAAAGTATCTAAAATTGTAAAACAGTTGTAACTGTGTCAAGACCGATGACAGACATTTATCTGATCACCATGACCGTAAGTCGTAAAATGAAACTAAGTGGGTGCAAAACAACGTGACAAAATCTACAATCCTGAGGTCACCAGAGCGATATCCTCTTGTCTTTTGGTCTCATTGAAACGTCCCATTTAAAAATGATAGACTCCTTGAATGAGTTTAACACAGATGATTTAGTTGTGCAAACAATACATCCAAACATCCTGTACACAGGATCCTGTACATATTGTCCCACAATATTTTTAGTTTTTTAACAACATTTCGCAAATATATTTTTGGAACAAAAAGGCTATTACACATGCATTTTCTTTTTTTTTTTGATAACTGACTCTAGTTTTATATTCTGACGTTTTCTGACATAAATGAAGTACATTTTAGGTATACTTGCTTGCAGCTAATCAGGTATGTCGACATTTATTATATTGTATTTTAAGTAGGCCTGTTCACAATATATGTCTGACTGTACAAAATAATGTTTTGGTGACTTTGTTCTGTGGATTGGCGTACGTTTAGCGACATTTGTGGAGATAGGCCATTATGACTCATTGCCCACAGTAACACAATGTGGAGGTTGGCATGAATAGTAAAATGAGAAATGGGCTGAGTTTTTCTCAAGCCTTTCTAATAAACTTTGCACCAGAGACACACTCATAAATGTGCACAAATTCGCGCACTGTTGCACAGACAACTAGACAATGTCGGGTAAAGTTCCTTGCCCAGGTTGCGCATCAACATGTGGCATAAGGATCAACAACTCTGAAATTAAAACTTACCACAAAACCGAAAATATTGAGAACTTGGCAAAAGCAAATCTCAAAAGCAGATATAGCAGCTTTCTGTTGCATATTTGCCTTTCAGTAAATGGGTAATGTGAGCCCAACAATATTTTTCAAAAAGAAAAAAGAAATTCAAGACACTCAAGTTATCTTTTGATTCAGAGCTTCCAATTTGAGAATAAAAATAAAAGGCCTTTTTTAAAAATGAATTAAGATTATGTGAATGGCTTTCGGCAAGACAGTGATTATACTTAAGGTCTTTGATAGTGTTGCTCCAAGCACTTCATTTCTGATTGTGCCCACAAAAATGTAATTTTCAGATTTAGAAGCTTTTTCCCTTCACCTTTCAATTAGATCACAGAGACACCTTTTGAGAAAATCTGGGCTTAAAAGGTAAAACTAGATTCAGTCTAATTGAAGTTCTTATAAATGCTTGTTTATGCTGCTGTGCACATCGTCAAGAGATGAGCCAATAATTGTTTAGGGGATCCTAAATGTGCTTCACCGATAGAGAGAAAACGCCAAAAGACAAAGAAAGTTTGATTTGTTTATTTTTAAAGCAGCGAGATCTTACAAGAGAATTTGGACTGTACAGTCAGATAAAGTGTCAAAAACAGTGAAATATGAGCACATACACATCATAAACACACCTAAAAATGTTATTTATGATAAGACTCGTCAACAATGTAGAGAAGGGAAGTTAGAAAGGACGGAGAGAGGAGGCGAAAGCTAAAGACAAACAGCAAAGTCTGAGTGAAGAGGAGGAAGAGCAAAAAGAAGTCGTTTTTTGCCTTTGATATCATCTACAGTAAGTGATCTAAACTATAAAGCACTCTTCAATATAAATATTATATTCTTTACAACTACGCGTAGCATCACTGACTGCAGACTTTGGTTCCTTTTGTCCCTCTACAGCACTGCTACTAATTACAGTCTACAGCCATATATAACCCCAGGAGTAGTAAAGTGTGATACCAAAGGAAAAAAAAACATAAATAAGTGACCTCTCACAAAAACAAGTCTTGATAAAAATCTATGCATGTAACAATGTGATGTTAAGAAGAAATTTTACAGTATATATATTTACATATATTGCTTAGGAACGATCAGTTATATACACAACTCGTTAATGATATAAACAAGCAAAATTAACATCTTAACTACATGAGGTATGTTTTGCCCTTTAAATTAAATTTTTAAAAAATGACCAACAAACAAATATTAACAAAATAAGAACGAGTCTGGGTTTTCTGATGTAATTGTCACAGACTGACTCTGATTTGACTGAGATTAATATCTCCTGCTCTACAAGACAAGCCACAGATAAATCCAAACACATCACATGTACAATCTGAATTAAAAACGTAAGACATTAACAATGAAAAGAGCAAAGATGAGACAAAAACTCTTGAAACTGAAACTAAAGGACAACATTTTGCTCTTAAAGTGCAGCATAACGCATAAGAAATTCAAGAGGTATGGTTTGAAATTGGCTTCAGTGTCGGATGGCTGTGATTTCCGCCTCAGATTTTAGAGTCGGTCGCAGATGACGGTCTCGACCACAAAAGTGTTCTCAAAGTGACGGATTCTGTGGCACTTCTTTGTCTCACGCCTCTCGATACCTGGAAGAGGCACAGAAAGAGAGAGAAACCAAAGACGCGTTGAGAAAAATCTGCTCAGCACTGAAACTCCTCATATTACTAGTGCTGCTGGCATGCCTCGGGTGCCCTATTTGATTCAGCACCAGTCTCATCCATATATGTACTCAGGGGGAAGTTTGCAGCATCATTTCTAAAAGATCTCACACCAACGGAGGGACGCGACGCCAGAGTTATCTTTCATGCGCATCACTGCCTCCTCCACAAATGTGTGGACGTGTCCACTGCACTACGAGTGAGTCACGTAGCAGGAGGAAGTTCCCAGGCAGTGCCCACACTCAATAACACACACACATAAAAAAACACACACACAAATGTCTGTGACAGGAGCAAATTGCACACTGTCTGAAGAGCTCAGAAGGAAGACTCGATTTGGTTCTGGTCGCTCTCCGATTCTCCCACACAGCAAATTTGAACTCTCTGATGCAGATGGATCACAGTGACCCCTCCTTGCATGGCTCACATTCTCACATTGTCTGGTGTTAAGAGAGGGTGATAACTAGGCGGAAGTGACCGGGGGGAAAATACTGCGCATAATTTATTGCAAACTCTCACTCACGTTGGCGCTGGTTGCGACGTCTGAGGCGGTACGTCTCTTTGCCAAAGCAGAGTCTGTGGATGAAGGGGCCCAGCTGCCTCATGTTCCTCAACCTGCCGGTCACAACCATCTCCTCTTGGACAATGTACGTCTGGGGAAGGTACGTCCCCCGCTGAGACGAAGAGGTAAAGCAGTCAGTAAAGAGGGAACACAATGTCCTTGCTGCTCTTTGGCAAGGGTTAAATCGATTGCAAAGCTCACCTTGACATTGACAAGCAGCTCCCACAGACTGCGAGGAGGCATCACGGCGGTTGTGTTCAACTCAGTGATGTAGCATTTGTCCAAGGCGATGTCGTAATAGGCTGTGAGGCCCTGGAATGAATCAAGAAGAAATATCATTTAGTCTTAAACACTCAAATGCGGCGAGTCTAGATAAGAGGATGAGACTTCTTATCGCCTACCCTCTGGAAGTCATGGACGATATCTGCTGGGTCACTGCCCCCAAAATGAGGCACGGGAACACTGATCTGCTCGTAGTTCTCCTCAAGGTAGATGCCCACGTTCTCCTCCAGTTCTTGGCGTCCTCTCAGGGGAGCGTACACAGAGTCCTCGTAGATGACCCGGCAGTGGAATAAGCTGTCCTCCGGGATCTGCTGTGAGGTCACAAAAAACAAAGCTGAGTCAGCATGTTTCATTTTCAGTTGCATTGTCCAGATCCGAGGTAAGATTTGTTTTGGGCGTCAACTAACTCAACTAACCTGGGACATAAAGTAGAAGCGATAGATGTAAATGGAAGGCAGCACCAGCCCCAGAGCGAAGATGACCAGGCCGATCGCGAGGCAGCACAGGCCCACTGGAAAGGCTTTTCTGGGCTTCCCGGGAGGAACCAGCCGCCCCTGTAAGGGAAGAGGAAAGACGACTGGTTAGACAGCTGCTCAGTAAACGCACACAAAGCTGCACTTTTGTTCTATGACAGCTCACAGAGCCATCCTCTTCCTTGCTGAGTCTGAATTGTAACAGAGTTAATTCTGACAAGAGGCAGTTGCCAAGCTGTTAGTCAGGCGAGGAGATCTGGTAGACGTAGGATGGACTGGAGTGAAGCATGCCAGATGCCCGCCCACGGTCTCTCGGCCAACCTTCTGCCTCTCCCATACTACTGTTGCCATGGAGAGCGGAAGAGGGGAGAACAGATGGTGCCAGCCTCTGACGAAAATGTTGGCACGTGGCCGTCTGGGTTTATTCTTGGACCCCTACTTCAATGCTCCATATCTGCTGATATTAAATTCCGGCTCACCGAGTGGGATTGAAAAAATAAATAAATAAATAAGGATGGCTGCGTAGAGAAGAGGGGTCCCTCGGCAAAGGTGGGGGCACGTATTAATAGATATGCACGTATTGCGTATCGGCTCTGACGCCTCACCTCCCGTCTTGGCCAATCAAAGCCCATTCCGCCTCTGACATCCTTCAGCTGACGTAAACAAACAGACGAAAAGGGGTGTCTTCGCTGATGACTGGTACGTCATTAGCTTTTACAGTGCAAAGTGGGGTGGGAGAAGAAGAGGGGATTGAAAAAAAGACTATTCAGTGCCTGATATCTATTTGTATTCTACTACTGGGGCAGACTGAAGAACGGAGGCAGAGCCAATGTGACCTATCTCTCTCTCTCTCTATCTATCTATCTATCTATCTATCTATCTATCTATCTATCTATCGATGAGATAGATTTGACATGTTTCCATCTTCAGTTCCTCTTCTAAGACTTTCTTCTTAATGTATCCATGAATTATTTTCAGGTCAACTCTTGCTCATTGCAAACACATAGTATATGTCTAGTATATTATGAATTAAGCTATACCCAAAGTACAAGGTAAAAAAAAAAAACAGGAATTATTGCACTACTCATCCTGACGGATTCAATCCCTGTAGGACTGAAATGGTATAACATGCTGTGAATGGCACAAATACTCCAGGAATTGCAGCAGGTTTTTTTTTTTCTCCCCCTCTCTTTGTTTCCTCAGTTTTCTTTCTTGAGGTAAACGTGCAAATAAGAACTGGAAGATATTATAGGTACATACTGTATTTAGGACTGTCAGTCACATCCATCTGTGATGCACACTTATACAGACATGTCTATTATCTGCAGTGTCCTCAAGGCTGGCCGAATGAGATGATGTAATCTCAACATCCTCAGACTGACACTGGCATGCACTGACCCATTGTGCTGCTGTACAATTTACCTCATTGCCTCAGCAAAGCAGCTGCTGCAGCCCTTCTGTTGTTAGAAATTGCACAGTTTACAGAGAACGCAAAAGTAAATTAGGGCTTTCATTGCACATTAGAATACGTTTAAATATAGGCACATTAAAAGATTAAAGGTTTAAAATTAAATCCTATTACTGGCCGGAGAACGCATGACCAGGCACCACGTATCTACTGAGTTATATCCCGTGCAGAGGAGAATCTACTCTTGCTATCATAAAATAATAATAATAATAATAATAATAATAATAATAATAATAATAATAATAATAATAATAATAGTGCTGAAGAAAAACGTCACAGCACGAAAACAAAGGAAAGATTAGATGCGCAAACTCACGTGAGCCTGGGGTAGAGTGATCTTGTCGACATCCTGGTCTTTCTCAGGCTTCTGCGCCGAAACTGACTGGAAGGTGATCTTCACCATGTTTTGGTTTAGCTCAGTTTGTTGGGATTTTTTTGCTTTTTTTTCCTCCCCCTTTTGTCTCCCGTCTGGTTTGTGGTTCTGGATCAGCACCGCGCTTCCATCCACAGCACCGGGAGGACTTTATAGCGCCGGCGCCGCCTCGCCCCCGGGAATCTCTGACATCAGAAGAGCGTCTTCTCTGACGTACGAGCGCCGTGTGGGACCGAGGGAAAAGCCCCCTCGCTGCTTTCAACATAAGAGCGAGCGCTGCTTTAAGACGTTTGTAGACGGTATAAAGTGCACGTAAATAGTTCAAATTGTACATTTCACGAGCTGGTTCGTAAAAAAAACACCAACGAATTTGATTTTCGACCCGCTTTACGGCGAAAAGGACGCAGCTTAAAACCTTTTCCAGACGCGAAGCTACTCCGTGCTTTTACTTTGAAGTCGAAATCCCAATATGGTAGCGTATTCCGCATTTTATTTAAAGCTGAACATCCTCCCCACATCCCTGTTCCGAACACTATCATCCGGAAATGTTGTGATGTTACAAATTGTCTCAGCCAGCAGCAATACTGCAATAAAGTTACCAATAGCTTATTGCTACTGTTGGTGAGGTTAATATTCTTGATAAAAAGCTGAATACTACTGTGTATAATAATCAACATTGAACTGGCTGGGATGATTAATAAAAAAATCAATGATTGACTTACAGGAAACATCTGTGTGTTTGTTTAATTGATCAAAAACAAATAGAGGCTAAATCAGATGATAAAGTTGAATGCTAATGTGTTAAAGCATCCCCAGCAGGTAATCTATGATCTGTGACACAAACAGTGGGCATCACAAGGCAAACTGACTATTCATGATTACAGTCAGGTATTCACCATATGCACATGTCACAACAGTGACCATCTCACATGCTGCCAAGAAAGTCCTTGTTTAAATAATGAGAAGTCACAAAGGAAATGTTTAATTTCCTTAATTAAAATGATAGTTCAAACCTATTTTTTTTTTTTTAGAAAAAAGTCCAGTTAGCTTTGATGAAACTGAAAAAAAGAACTGTTGCAGACCTAAAAAGACGAGGGAGGGGGGGAGCTGTTACAGAAGTTTAATAGTAAGACCTTATCTGAATAGAAGCGATGTAGCTGATTGTTTTTTTTTTTGTTCAATTATATACTTCTTGTCATACAATGTCAGCAATACGTCTATTGTTTTGGCTTGCACTGCTATAATGGTCACTGAGTACAACTGTTACATAATCCAACTTGTTTTCCTGCTAACAAGTGACATGCATCAATAGTAATCAACTCTTGACATAGTTCACCATAAAAAACAACAACAACCTACAGTGAGGGCTGAGGTGAAACATATGAACTCCAGATGATTTTGATATATATATATATATATATATATATTTCCCTCTGAGTGAGTGCGATCAATGTGACATTGTTATTTTGCGAATAAAAGATGGAACATTCATTTTTACTTCCTTTTTACACACTGTACCTTGGATGGCAATAAATGAGGTCATGTGCTCATTCTTGTTCTCTTCTCTCAATAGAGGTAAACACAGGAACTGAAATAACACTTTATAAAGAACAAAACAAACAAACAACAACAACAAAAACAACCCTGAGAAAGTAAAACGACAGTAAACGGGGACCTTTGCGGTTTGCCTTCTTTACAACCGTTTGAAAGGGAGATAACTGGTTTTCATTTGTCAACTGACTGTTAACAATTAAGAATTAATTAGCCTAACTTCCTAATGACGTGAGAACTGTCCCTGATTGGCACAATTTAATGAGGGCTTATCCATGCAACTAATAAGGAAACGGATACTGAATTGTATTTAACAAAAAAAAAAAAAACTATCTGCAACTGAACATGTGATCCTGAATGCATAGTTTATAAATTAAAGTTCGACCACTAACTGCAGGGTGTTTGTGGCTTGTCTTGGCTCCGTGGTCCAGGACCCCGTGGTTAAAAAGGGTGCGGGCGTTGCGCGCCCTCTCTGTCTTGCACCCAGTTCATCCATTCACATGCAAATGAGCCATGCATGCAGCCGCAGAAAGGCCCCCAGGCAATAACAAGCCCATTCTGTGAAGGAGTCAACCACCGCACGGCCATCTGTCCCCCTCTCGGACTCCAGCTAACGGCTTTCTGGATCACACAAACTTCAACCATGGCTCCGATACGCAGCAACACCAGCGGGATGAATGGAAGCGACAGCGAAATACAGTCTGACAGGAAGGTAGGATGTGGAGAGTTTGGTAGCCGCCGCGGAGCGTGGAAATGACTCAATCTGACCTCCGATGTTCTCCCTGCAGATGAGGAAACCTCTCTTGGAAAAGAAGAGAAGAGCTCGCATTAATGAAAGCTTACAAGAGCTCAGGGCCCTCATCGCAGACTCGGACGTGAGTGAGCTTTTTTATTTAAATGACCTCACAGTCGACGTGTCCTAATTGAGGTGATTGAGCTCAAGCGGTGGCCGCTCTGCTTCCCACCGCAGTTCCAGTCGAAGGTGGAGAATGCTGAAGTTTTGGAGCTGACGGTGAAACATGTGGAGAGCATCCTGCAGAACCGAGCCCAAGGTAAACCTCCGCTTCTGTCTGTCATTATGTAAAATCACCTATAGCCTACAAAAAACAAAAAAAAAGTCTTTTGAACCGGACGAAAACACCCTGTAAATAACTTTAAATAATTCTTCCGCGGAGAAATGTAGTTCTTATTATTAGCGGATAAATATTTTCATCAGAGGCTCCTAAGATTTGAGTTGTGACCTCAGTTGAAGTCGCCAGTTGACAGAGTCTTGAGAACCTCCTGAGTTTATGAATGTTTAAATATATACATGCATATCAGGTCAATTTCAGCACATCAGCTTTATATAGCAACGAGTGGCCCTCAAAGAAGAAACATGACAATCCGAGACCAAATCACACTTTATTTATTTACATGTATTTATTGTTAGAAATTATGCACGGCACGGAGAAAGTCATGTTTATCCCTGTGCAGTATATTTTCACAATTAAAAACGTCAACCAAAAATATTCTAAGAGTGTGCTTTGCTTGTTTAAATGAGACATGCAGAAAATATGGAGAAGAAGATTGTTTCCGATCGGTGATGTGATCTGAACCTCACGTGGGGGAGCGAAGCATATGCAGATCAATTTTAAAGTTGTTGATCAATTAGACCTGGTGATGTCATAACAAGATGAAGGAAGCGAAGAAAAATGAAAGCACAACTAATTGTGATGGCCTTGAGTATTGTTTGCAACCTCTGCACAGGAGTCTGTTTGGATGTGTAGTTGGAAGCAGGTGTGGTGGGATTGTGATGTCATGTATTTTGCTGACTCAAACTTTTTTCATAGTTCCATATTTTGCAGAATTAAAAATTTCAGTCATTGTTTACATCTGGATTTACTGAGCCTAGCTTCTTCTGGTGCAGAATTATGACACATACCTAACATCAATGATGTCACAGTCTGACAAAATGAGACATGACTGTTCAGACTTTAGATGCTTTGAAAATGTTGCAATTTAGTGCCACACATTGAAGTGGCACAAATCGGACTGTTTTTGGGAGTGGGAGTGAAATGATCTGAATAGGGTCATTCAGACTGACATGAAAAAGGTCTATATGGGTCACAGGTGGGCAAAAATAAAATAGATTTGGGTCATATTTGTCTGCTGTGTGAACATAGAATAAGAGATCAATGAGTTGATTTTTTATTTTTATTTTTTTTGTAATTACTCTATGCTGTTTTGTTGCACCAAAGCAGAATCAGTAAACCCAGTTTTGCTGAAAACAATAACAATGATATATTAAAAAATGGTACAATAAAAATAATACTTTGTGTTGTTTGGTTTATTCATCAGAAGTACTCAGAACCCTCAGTTGGTAGCTCTTGTTGATAGAATGACATAACAAAGGTCTTCAGCACCAGTGGAGCACATGAACTGATTTGTTGGTAGTAACACCAATAATGATGCTTTTCAAGAATTTATCAAAATTCCATAATGTTTCCACAGATTGACTGACTTGTACTGCTTGTGTCCTCAATCACTTTGGCTCAGACACTGTTGGATGCGTAATTTGACATTTAAAATAACGTGGCTGCTGTATGTCTTTCTTCAGAGGTGGACGCTCTGAACAGGGAGGCCAAGGAGCGTTTCGCCGCCGGCTACATCCAGTGCATGCATGATGTGCACACGTTTGTGTCCTGTTGCCCTGGAATAGACCCCGCCATTGCGTCTGAGCTGCTGAACCACCTCCTGGAGAGGATGCCCCTTAGTGACGAGGAGCATCTTGATGAAAACAAGCCAGCCTGTAACAGCACTTGGCCCCTCCCTGAGAGTATGTACACCACAGTGGTGTCCCCGGTCACTTCTAACACCTCCACTGATGACCTCAGCTCCGACCCGGATGAGACGGACTCGGAGCAAAACCAAGCTTCCTCCACGGAGGCGGTAGCTCGCCAGCATGCATCGTCTGGTGTAACTTCCTCACAGCCAATGTGGAGACCTTGGTAAAGAATTTTGAAGAGGCTTGTTTAAACTAGATGATTGTTGGTCATTGTTAGAATGTACTGACAGGCTTTACTTCACTACAAAACACACCTAAAAAGGCAACACTGTCTCTGACAGTGGTTCTCTTTTTTTTTTCTTTTTTTAATTATCACCTTGGTAATTTCTCCACGCATCACCCTCTTGTTTAGCTTTTTAACACAGTGACAGAACAGAACTTGGATCTTTTGAACTTGCTGGGTTGCATCATGAACACAAAATCCTTCTCATTTATTGGTAATGCATCTTTGGTTGACAAATGTGTTTTAAATACATCCTCGATTTTCACACGTAAGTTCAAATTTAAAGTTGAAAGTTGAAATCCCCAATGGTAAAGTCAGTGGGCGCCTACAATCTCCAACCTCACAGTCCAATATGGTTGCCCTGACATTAAATTTAGGATGTTTGGCAACTTGAATGTAATTAAGCTAAGTCACACACAATGTTGTACAATCTTTTTTTAATTAATATATGGCAATGTTTTTTTAATGAATAACAGCTAATGTGCTTGCATTTAGCTTATAAACAATTATTTTTCTTTTTCTATTTGAAAACCACTATTGTCAGTCCAACTACCACTAGTCATACATGTACCACAGTTTGAAAACCATATGTCTAAGACTATGACTCTTACACCGTTGTGTTGGTGATTTTGATGCTCCATGTAATTGCACTTCTATTTAATTGAATCGTTGATTCACAGAGTACTGTATAATGTCCATTTGTGAATATTTCCTATACCAGACTAATTGCAGTTAGACATGCAGGCTGAGTCTGGACTTCTATTGCTAAAATTAGCTTATCATTTAGCACAACAGCTAGCACTGGTTTTCTGACATCCTACTCTATCAATACCTACTAATTGTGTTGTGTACCAATAAATATTTTCAGTTTATTCCTATTTAATTAATTGAATAGGACTTCTTTTTGAAGCGAGATGAGATTTATCAATGAAACGAAAGATAACAGAAATGCTAGGGCAGCATTTTCAGAGAATTGCTCAAGCAAAGATTAAACTCCGTAATCAGGAAACTGTCAACCGGGAACGATTGCTCTGGGCTTTCTAAGCAGCATAAGCAATGTCTGTGTTGAAACTGTTGGTGACAAAAAAAGCTGAAAACTTGTCAAGTGATTTAGAAATTGGCATTTGACTGGTTTTGGGCAGAGGAGGAACCAAATCCTCAGCATCTCCAACATATTTTGAAATGCACCTTTCAACCAGCTATCTGGTGGAAATGGTTCATTATAAAGGGAAAAAAACACTCAAGGAATCAAGATCCCTGTCCTGTTCTGTTCTGTTTTAAAATTATTTTAATGTCATTACTTTAACATTTTATTAAGTCTTTAAAAAAAAAAGAAGCTTGGGAGCCACTTTGGCTAAGACATAAAGAAGCTCTTTGTAAAATGTATCAAAGCTGCAGTTGAAGTATTTAATGTTGTAAGATATGATAATAATAGTTGCAGAGATCACTGATGTGTACATTATGCATTTAAAAGTCTATAGGTTTACCTTAATAAGGTGGTGGATGCATTTGTAAATATGTACTTATTAACATTTAGTTGTTCCTCTCCGGATACATTGTTAGTTAAATTATTTCCGATTTAGAAAGTCGAGGACTGCTTATTTATAGTGCATTAGTAAGCTACCTTATCCAGTTTAAACCTTCCAATAAAAAACTTTTTTTAAACAAAGACCTCTGTGGAGATTCTATTTATGCACCTTTCTCGCTCCTAAAAAGCAACTTTTACACAGAAGGATCCCACTAACCACCCACCGTCGTCTGTTATAAAGATTTACTCTGCCGTTGTGGGCTAGATTGTGTGAACGCTCCCCGTCTCTCTCTTTCTCTCACTCTCTCTCTTTCTCTCTCTCTCTCGCTCAAAGATTTCTTTGCACATCGTAGGCATTTGTGAGATGTGAAATGAGTAATCGCTCCTTTTATAGGCCTCATTCTGAACTGGGTTTTATAGCTCTGTTGAGCTAAGCTTTTTTATGTTTTTTTTTTAATACCTTGGATACATGGATGGTCATGAGAATCAATTTAAGCACCAGTTTGTCATAATATACAGAGTGTACTATAAATTGCTGAACAGCTTCAGGATCAAAAGTGATGAAGTTTCAAATTGTGTCCTGCATCGTAATGGATGTGAAGGAACATGTTACTCAGCTCTTCCAGATTTCAACCAGTACTTCTGAGAACGCTCTGTACCCACGTGTCTCTTGTGTTTCTGCGATGTTCACCGAGTGTCAGTCATTTTGCAATCAACCTCTACCGGCTCTTGTGATTGGGACAGTTTAGAAAATGACAGCAGAAATATGAATCAGTTTAAATAATCCTTCTACATCACCACTGAAAAGCTTCCTTAACTTTTTCGGTAAAGAGCAACACATAGCAGTGTGCAATTTAAATTGGAAGGAAAATATATTTTACAAATTAAACATCTGAAAAGTGGGGCATTTATTTTTGTGTGGCCCGTTTACTTACCACTAAATGAAATGAATTGCAGCAGAACAGCTTCCACTTTGGCATAAAAATGCTTGTGAGTGAACACTAGTGAACAAACAACATTAGTAAACATCGTGGACAGGTCAGTAATACAATTGTGGAAAAATTGAAAGCATGAAAACGTTCCAGTCCAGTAATCAGAGGAAAAGACAAAGAATCCAATGCTTCTCTGGAGGAGATGCAGAGATGCTCAAAGACGGTCTGTTTGGAAGAGTGTCAGACAGAAAGTCATGAGACTTATTGCATATAATGTTGCAGAATTCTGTGGCTAACACAAAACTATCACACACACAACAAAGAACACACATATGGTGTGGGCAATTTGTCAAGAGGCTGCAAAACACATCACTTCCCAGTAAGACCACGCTAAACAGCACGACAGCTGGTTCAGATCGAAATATGTCCACGAGTTAGAATAAAGTCAAGACCCAAATACAATATGGACATATAGAAAACTGACATGACATGAAAAGCTGGTAGGCTTTCACATGAAGTTCCAGTGCATTAAAGAATGCAGCCACAAAGTGACAACATATGAAAAGATTCACCGCATGAATACTAACGAATACTAACATAACGCTGCATTTACCAGGTTTAATGCTGGGAATGATCGGAGGCGTCTGAACTATAATCACAAAAAAATAAAATAAAATAAAATAAAATATTGGAAGATACACGCATTCTTTGTCACGCAGCATTTGTCTCACATCACGAACATATAGCATACATAGAAGTAAATAAATACATGTTAATGTGAAACAACTACGGTTTCACTTCATTGTTTCAAGAAGAAAGAACGAAAGGAAGACCGGATTTGCAGATCAGCAGATGTAAATAAGTGCAGCAGGCCGGCAATTTGCACCTTGTCCTAAATGTGCAGCCTGACATGCAGGGCAGGAGGTGTGAATAGCGGATTAAAGTAACGCGTCATTCTGACCCAGCACTTTACAAACGCGATCTATCACAGGTTGTTGATTTGCACCACCAAAAGAATGCACGAAATAATAATAATAATAATAATAATAATAATAATAATAATAATAATAATAATAATAATAATAATAAGCCTGATTGTAGCCTACTCCACATTTTGTTCAGATTAAGGGAACTACCAAATCCACACCTGTATTTGTATGAACTGAGGTGTGAATAGAGAAAGGCCGCTTTGATGTGGGGATCTGTCAGAACATGACAGACTCGTCTCCGTGGCTTTTCAGTCAAGACAGACAGTCAGACAGACAGACATCGATTTGCATCAGGAAAATGAAAGTCACAACCGCAGGACAGGAAAACTTCAGCATTATGCATGCTCTCTCCTGATCTGAATAAGAATCGCAGCGTCATTCGCGGATTCTTTTATGTCAATGCGTTTTATCGCCCTCTAGTGGTCAGACCATTTTAAGTTTTTTTTATTTTTTATTTGACGTGGGTCCAAAGTCCAACAAGCCTATAAACAAATATTTAGTCAAATAAACAAGTGCACATTTTTCATTCAATTTGAAAATTGTGTACACCCCATTAAAAATGTTATTTTCAAAAGAAATGTACTGTTTTATTATTATTCTGGCCATATCTGAGACAGAAAGTGATTTAATTAGAGCTAAACAGCAAGTTCCCCTGCTTCTGTTTATTACTTGAAAGACGTGAAGACAGCTGTGTATTCTGAGTAAAAAGTGAGTCTCTGACATTGGTTTGAGGAATTTTTGCCCAATTCCTCACTTTCATCTCTGAGACATTTTAAGGGTAACCTCAATCCCCTTCGAGTGACCCGAGGGCAACTCAATGAGATCAAAGTCTGGGCTTCTAACAGGAGTTTCCACTGTTTTGCTCTTTGACGCGTGGAGTTATGGCATGTTCAGGGCCATTGCAAAGTTTCCGAGTCCAGTTCTGTCACAGATATCAATCACACTTTCTTCCTTGAAACCTTTGATGGTAGAATTTTTGATGTATTCGGTTAATTTGTTAGTCAATAATTATGACACTTCCACCTCCATTCTTCACAGTAACTATAACGTTTTTACTCCTGATATGCAGTATGATCTGTTGTGTTAAATGTATTCAGGTCTTTGAATTTTCTTTAACAAACTTTAGTCAGACCTTCACTGCACAAAGTTCGCCTCCTTGCACAAATACAATGAATGATGAACTAATTCAGTGTCTTTCAAAGCGGACAGTCTCGCTGGCTCACATCTGTGAGCATCTTGAACTTGCTGTTTTGTGATAACATTTGAAGGCTTCAGAGGTTTTCTTTAGCGTCCTGCAGTCTTCTATTGCACTGAATTTGCTTGGACAACCAGCCCTGGCATTTGACTACAACTGTCAATCTTTTAATTACGACAAAACATTTACTGTTTTATCAATGTGCATACAGGGAAATAAGCAAAAGGCAATAACATGTGGATGTGAAACTGATGTAGGTAATACGCAAAACAATGTTGATTTCAAATTAAACATTTTATGTCAAGAAAATATTTATTTTCATTGAACCAAGAAAAAATAAGGACACAAAATAGAAAGGTGCTTGATAACCCTGCTGAAATAGCAGAAAGACTAATTACATATTCAGAAAAGTTACAGAGAAATAGCATGGATTCTCATGTGAAATTATAATATAAAAAAACCCAGGCATCTTAAGTTTCTAAAATAATAACAGACCTTTCAGGTTTTTGGCTTATAATGAGCTGGTGTCCCCTCTTACTCTACCAACCTTCTCCACTGTAAACAACCACTCAGTTATTTTTCCCTTTCTGATCTGTAGTCAGCATTAGTCTTCTTGGTCCTGTCTGTTTTTTAATTTAGTTTTTTTTTTTTCTAATAAATACATTGTGTAGTTTTCAAAAAGCATATATGCAAAATATATACGTATGTATATACTCAAAGACTTTTTTAAAGGTTAACGTGTGCAACGTCAGCAAAGAAATAAGAATTTCACATCTAAAACATTTGATGCATTTTGTAAGATAGAAAAAACTAAAATATGCCAAACCCATATCAAGCATAGTTTGGTAAGACATGGCTCTGAAAAAAAATAAAAAATTGAAACACTACAACCAAGTAAAAACAGCATCGTGCACATGCTCATATCCTGTTAAATATTATCATCAGCTTAATAAATACTGCAGTATCACATGTGCTTTTATTAGGTAGGATATGGTTTTTACTTTATGGCATTATCCTCATTTTACTACCATGGCCCAGTTTGCTCTCAGCTTCAATAATGTACAGAGCGCCAGATAAACAATCAATAAAAAAACAAACCAGGCTGACATTGTGCCTGGAGCTACTTATATAACCAAACAAGGTCAAATATATTATGAATAACTGGCCTTTATGTCAGGTTTGTTGGACCTCATGTTACTCCACTGAGGGCAAGAGTCAGAGCATGTTTCTATGTGGCGGAGAATGGACGGAAATGACGGATAGCTTAACAAGTTTGAATTTCCCAGCCCCAAAAATGAGTTTGAACAATTGTAACTGCCAAAAATTCTTCCTTTTAGCACCAAAAAAGTGCACATATGCTCATCCGGTACCTTATGAGAATGAATAATAGAACCGAAGTAATTTGTTGCTAAAAAAAAAAAAAAAAAGAAAACCTCTACATTTTTTTTAACCTCACTTAACTAAAAATATCCTGAAATAATAATTTTATTAACTGTCTCACAGTCCGACGTGTGTTTACTTGGTATCTGTTGTAACGCTGTGAGCATGATTTTGAGCATTGTGCTGTTTCCTTGTCACATGTTTTATCTCCTATAGTCAGTGCATGAAATTCTTTCAAGGTGCCACACTGCGAAATGCGAAAGAAGGCAAATAATTAAACACACTAAGTCACAAAGCCTTTGTCCCAGAAGCAACTAAGCGACCCTGCCTTACACAGCTAAAAATGAAACGAAATTAATCACCACAGACATTCACCTTTTACAAATGCACAGATTGAACTGCAACACAGCAAAACGGCTCATCTTAGGCCACTTATTCTTTACAACAGAGCAGCAGTTTCTTTAAAACTCTTGTTGATTTGCTTCTTCTGCCCCTGGGCTGCAGCTTGAAGGATGACCTGAGTGACAGGAGGTCAAGGCAGAGGTTAAAGGTTGGCCTCTGAGCCCCTCTGGGCAGTAGTCCTCTCTGGTCTCTGTGTCACCCAGTCCAAAATCTGGCTGGTCTTCTGCTCCAACCGTTGGTGCAGTCTCTGAGGTGTTGTCACACCAGGTGCATCCCTGCAAGTCACAAATGTGTTTAAATCCTAAATTAAGGAGTGAAATCTAGAGACACAAAATATATAAATACAGGAAAGGATGGAAATAATTGTTGTTTTATGGATCGATGCCTAAGTTTCAGCTTTCAGCTGTTTTATTGTATTGACGCTTTTTTTTTTCCACTTATGTTTCTCAATGAAACATAAAATGAAACAGAAGTTGTTGGGTTTTTTTCTACCTCAACATTGATGGCTTTGGGTATCTCTCCCTTCTCTATCCAGGGGTGGACCTCGCACAGCTCCTTCCTCTGGTCCACTGAAAAGTGGGGCTGGCTCTGCTGCAGCACCCTTATCTTCTCATTGTCTTCTTCCAGCACTCTGTCAATGTCCCTGGATGACACACACACACAGAAAGTTGTAAAAGAGTAAGCAATCATTCTTCGGTTTTCTCCTAAAAAAAAACAAAAACATTTAGGCAACTTTTTTGTCAACATACATAAAAAATAATTTAGGTCTGCAATACACAGGTGCATTAAAGCTGAAGGTTGAGTAAACTTTGCTAAAGGCTTTGAATAAGTAAAAGACATCAGAGAATCGTTAAGTTACTGAGAATGATGTAACTTAACGATTCAAGACTCATTGAGTTACATATTGTGCTCATTCTGTGAAAAACAAACAACAAAAAATCTAGTTGGAATAGACTCTTTCCATTTCTTATGGTTCCTGACAGAGGCTTCTTGGCTCAGAGAACTTAGCTCAGCCTCTTGATGACTTTAGTATAACAGCTTTTAGTTGTTGCAGACGTGAACCGCTAAAGCTGTAATGTAGACCTGCGTTACTTTGCTGTAAAATGTGGTTACAAACTAAATCCTTCACCACAAAGAATCATTTAAAGACTAGGAATGTAGAGATTCTACTTCAATCTGTCCTTTACTCTGTGACATGTATAGAGTGTCATTTCATTTATATTTCGTCTGACATAGCCAAAACACTTCTAATGGATGTATTGAAACACCAAAGGGAACATCTGCATATTTCTGCGGCATACATTTATTCAGTAGCAATCTTCTGTTATTGATACATTTATACTCAGGAATCATTACAAATATTTCCTGACATCACCTGCTTTGAATTACAGATTTATTCCATACATGACATTTTTATTTGTAACATTATTTATCAGCCTTAAGTGGCTTAAGTTTTTCCCCAGCGTTTTTTTCAACATGTGTTATCGATCAACTCAGGAATACACACACATAATCATTACAAAGGAAGTTGACATAAGAAAACATAAAATCATGAACAACTTAAGACTCAAAATATCAGATTCCCATTTAAGTGTGTAACATCCCTGCAGTGAAAACCAACAACATTTGATGTCTCTCATGATGAGGATTGTTGAAACAATGTCAGCATCAACATTGGGGTGCCATCTACTGGTTAACTAATGTCCCTACAGCAGGTATAAATGGTTCAGATTTCTTTAAATCTCTCTGTCTCTACTGGACAAAGGGAAATGCTATGAACAGAACTGGTTCCATGTTAATCAGATTCATGTCCTCCTCTAAATTAAACACTGTAATAATCGAGTATAAATATATAAGGTATATGATGTCATTTTATTATTGACATATCGTATCTGCAACTCTTGTGAAGAACAAAGTAAAAACTCTGTTTTATTTAGGACATGGCCAATATTTAGAATGTTTCTGTAGAAGGTGACAACTCTGAAATGTCTAATAGAAGTCAAAAGCTTAGTGGATAAAGTTAACATAAAATTTAATTGTTTGAAAAAACCTACAACCTTTGAACAAAGTTTTTGTAGACATCCTTTATCTTCGCTGAGTCTGTATTGTTAATTTGCCTTTAGAAATAAGGAAAAGACATGCATTGATTCTCCTTAGGAATCCCAGACTGTTCCTCTTTAACAGAACTTTCAGTTTCAGTCAGACTGAATGGCCTTTTGGCTTGACCTTCATCTTCAGTTCACTCTACATATTGTCAGGGGATTCGAGTCAGGTCTATGTGCAGGACAGTCAGTGACACTCACTTTAATTGTCTGGAGATAGTCACTGGCAAAAACATAGTGTTGTCATGTTGTTGTTTTTTTTTTTTTGAGTTGTTCTTGCACCCTTTCAATTCATTCCTTTGCAGAGAGATCTATTCATCAACATATTTGTGACAACAATTTCTGACCATTGCTTTGTGTCTTGGCAGTTGTTACTGATGTCTCTCATTACTTCTCATTCCAGGGTCTTTTGAATCTTTTGCTTCCTGCCTTGGCCAGGCTTCTCTTGTGCTCTTTTTTCTATGCATTTCTAGATTACCATTGATTCTCCTACTGCTTAGTTCATGTCAATAGTCCTATTTTTTCTCAAGTTCAGACCAATTTGTTTAGTTCTTGACCTGATACTAAGTATCAGGTGCAAAAATCATCTATTGTAACTTCACGCAGATCATGACACAACAGTGGTTTGTGTAAAGAGGTCAGTTCTCGAAAGGGGTAATAATTTCAATAATACTTACTTTTTTTTTTTTTTTGAATGATTTCATTTCTGTGGTTAAAGCAAAAATAAACCTATGATGTTTAAAAAAAACCTGTACAACATATTTGAACTAACTCTTTTTTAAACAAAATTATCAGTGCCACAATAATTGGTCTCCTGATGTTAATGTTTTATGCAACCATCTTTTACTAACAGGACAGCAACCAGGTTCCTCTTACAACATCATAAAAGGCACCTGGTATGCACTTGTGTCTTTCTGTCACATGGATACATCTTTTGCTATAATCAAAGAACTACACCACAAAGAAGAAATTCAAATGTTTCAATGTATTTCCTTCCTACTCCTTGCTTGCTGTGCCTGTCCTTCGACTCACCGCGAGGGCAGCTCATAGGTCATCATGACTTTCTCATCTGCATTGGCCATCAGCAGCCAGGCGGGGTCCTGCAGGACACACTCGAGGAGCCCTGCCTCCGCTGGTCTTTCCTCACTGCTCCTAAGGAGGCCTTTGGTCTTCTGGCTGCTCTGAGATGAGTCCACACTGCCAAAGTATTTACTGCTGTTGTTGCTTCCTGGAAAAAAAAAAAAGCCAAGCACCACATATTTTTATGACAAACGAGTTAATGATTTAAAAAAAAAGACCCTTATATGTTAACTTTGATGTTTTATTCTCTGTATTTTTGCTTTTCTTCGAAGCTGACGTTTGAATGCAGACCTGAAAAACTGCCTGATGCCCCACTGGCCGAGGCGCCACTGGCCGACGTCCTGCTCTTGGACTTCCCGCTTGCTGAGGTCCCAAAGCCGTTGGAGCCGGAGCCCATGGAGCCGGAGGTGGCTGAACAAGAGTCCTCTTGAAGGATGATGTCCAGCATGTCGCTCGATGTTGAGATGACATCACTGTTGTTACCTTCATCGCTCCTCTGCAAAAAAACCAAAAACAAACAGATATTACAGCACTGGTTTTAATAATGCTTTAACTCTCAGTGCTGGGAATACCATACCGTCGTCATTTCAACTGGTCTTTTATACCACGGCCATTTATCCATTTTTCTTTTAAAAAGAGGAGATTTTGCTACTGCAGTTACACTTTTTAAATCCATGTAGAGTCTCTTTAATGCACAGAGACAAGTGTAACTAAGTACATAAAATAAATTTTGTTAATGTACATTTATTGTTTTCTCTTTTCTAAAGTGGATGGAGAGGAAAGACCAAGGCCACACAGCGAAACTGAAGTATTGCTGCACAGTATATCACAAATTCATCATTTCCAAAGCATCACTGAATCTGACAGCATATCACAAATAACTGCTTGGATTGCAAAAAAATATCAGCAAATAATATGAACACCATGCATTCAGTGTTTCGCATGGTGACACTTCATCATGGAAAAGTTTCAGAAAGTAAAGAGGGTGTGATGTTTTGAATTGCAGACAACAGCTGGAAGCATCAAATTAAAAATCCATGTTGATAGGAAACATGAATTTTATTGTTAGCTCGTACAGACAAATAATTAATTGAAGCGTATCTTTGCTCTGAGCTTAGATTGGAAAGTGACCAGTACTGTTTTGTCATCCACTTTCTGTTCAATCCACAGATGCATTTTCCTTACCGAAGTGGCAAAAATGAAACAAATTCAAAATCGCCAGCACATTCTGTCCAATAAATTTCATGCAAAAGCTCCTGGTAAAAAGGACAACATCCCACGCGAACCTTTTTCTGGGTAAATCCTCCACACTGATCATATGCTGAAAACATCTGCATAAAGCAATTTTAAAAGCATCTATCATTTTACTCGAAATTTACACAAATTCCCAATCAAAAACAAAACATGGATGTTTGTGAACATTTCTGTAAAGCTCTGAGCTTCGGACTTAAATTTAGCTTAGACTGTATTTCACAGTGTGCTTACAGAAAGAAAAGTTATAAAGTTTAAGTATAGCTGCAATCCTGTTTACAGATTTCTTTTGTACTATTTCTGCTTTTAATGTTTCAGTCTCAGCTACCTGTTGAAAAAATGAAAGCATTGCAGGGTAAAATAAAAAATGAACAAGCTTTTACAGTTGACATGAAATCTGGAAGGAATGGGATTTAAAAAATGTTGAGTTTTTCTGAGGATTTGCCTACCTCTTCGCTGCCAGCCCCTTGCCTAGACCACACTTTATCCCAAGACAAACGCTCACAGACACAGGATATGGGTTGGAAATACAAGGGTCCAGATGGACCAAGTATGCTGAGAGAGGGCTAAAGGGTGTAAGGGATAATAGTATCATTAACACCCAAAGCCACAATTCATCTAAGGAGTCTTAGCTCACTTGATTTTACACATTACAATACAAATAAAAGAAACTCTGTCAGTTTATTGCTGGGAATATGTTGAGAATCCTGGTAGTGAGGGGAATAAATCTCAAATGGGAAAACGAGGCATATAGCTCTACATATTAGGGGGACGTCAATTTGAAAATTTCAGAGGTCACACGTGAAGAACATCAGTCAGAAACAATGAAAGACTTGAGGACAACATAATGATATAAAAGAACTTATTCCGCTCTCTCTTTCAATCTATTTACCTCTTTCATCTCCCTCTCCTTTGCTTTGCTGGTGCTTGCTGCTTTCTCTCTGTCAGCCATGTTAGTCCCTTGTCCTGCTGAAGCATGAGGTGCGTTGTCCTGCCTGTCCACAGAGATCTCCAGCTCCAGCAGGTTCAGAGGCGAGCTGCAGCGGGACTCGAACAGAGGCGGGGACGCCTGACCTTCACTTTCACCAGACTGTGGCGTGGAGGAGCGGGAGCGGCCTTCCACCAGGGGCTTCGGGGTGTCAGGGGAGGAAGGCAAGTGGAAAGCTGGAGACAGGTAGGATGCTAACTGTGGGTTGAGCTGGTTCTGACCGTTGATAAAAGGTGGGGTTGCAAAGGCGGCATGGCTTGGGAAAGCAGTCTGATCAAAAGGCTGCGCTTGCATTGGGATACCCCCAGCATCTACCTGATACATTGGCACCGGTGGTGCTGGATGTCCAATTAAAGGGTATAAGTAGTTGGGCAGCACAAAAGCCATAATAGGTGTGACCATATGAGAGGTTACGGGGGCAGACTGAGTGCCTGGGGACAACCAAGGTAGCTGGGCACTCTGATTAACCCCCAAGTCTTGTGGTGGAGCTTCTGTGCATGACAATGCAGAATCTGTTCTGGCGTAGATCTGCATTGGGTAGCCTGGCAGCATGACAGGATATGGTGCAGGAAAAGCGGGCTGTGAGGCAACAGATGGAGATACTGGGGACTGCGTATGGCTCTGTGTTGTCTGAGGGGCCTTCTGCGGCTGCTGTCGCTCCTTGTGAGGGGCAGCCTCAGCGCTCTGTGAAGTGAGAAGCTTTGCTCTCTTGGTTTTGGTCTTCTTGTTTCGTGTTCCTCGGCGGGGCATCGGCTCTGGTCTCTGACCTTGGTGCTTTCTGGGCTGAACAGTGTGCACAGCTGTAGATTGATGAAGGAAACGTTTAGAAACAAACCAATTTAAATATCATTATTTTTGGCTTCTGACACTTGAATGTATAATTTGTTTTTACATTTAAACCAACTAATCAACGTCTCCTTTGGTCTCCAGCCAACCTGTCAATGCCGACATCAGGAGAGTCTCTTTATAAGTGGTCATCATCTATGGTTAATACAACTATTTGTATTTTTCTATTTGAAATAGTGACCACCAATCAGAGCCAGGAGGAGGGTCTTAGTGCTCTCAATCACCCTCAATCAAGGCTTAGGTTAGTTAGCATTGATGGTGGATAACAGATTTTCTGGAGTGGTAAGCTGTTTCTCCACCATTAGCAAAGGACGAGTGTAATTTTTTGTCTGTCTCACAGCATACTGTCACACCACAGTTTTAGATACTGTTAACAAATATATAAAGTACTTTTTTTTCACATACTCCCTATATTTGATTCAGTCCATTTCACCATCATCTCTGACTGTTGAGCTCAGACAGAACATTACAACTCCAAAATCTCAGAAACAGCCATTACACAAAAATTGTACAGTTGCCTGTAGTTTTATTGTTTATTTTATTTATCTATGCCTTTCGGTCTAGCTATGTTGTTTTTTGTGTGTTTTGTCTGGCACCTTGAAACTCAATTTCATATTGTATTATGCACAATCATATATGATATGACAGTAAAGAACATTGAGTCCTTTGAACCAGCCCTGCTTTATTGCTCTCATTGGTCCTCGTGATTTTTCTTGTTTTATTTTTTTTACTAAAGTTTTCAAGCAAATCTCAGAAGCCTTTGCAGAACAGCTGTATTTATATTGAGATTAAATTACACACAATTGACCTTTGTTAATTAGGAGAAGGTAGGTGGTTGCACTGAACTTTATTTGAGGATACCAGAATAAATCAGGTGAAATTTGCAGTTTTTGTAAAAAAACAAAGTTTAGGAAGCTAACTTTTGTCTTCCCCTTTACAGTGCCTGAAATCTGAAAATAGATCTAAGTTTGTGGTTCTAGTCTTGAAAAAATGAGGAAATGTTTAGGTGGAGTATTTTAGCAAAGACCTGCGCATCTGAGGGATAAAACTAGTCTGAAAAGCTATTTAACCGTGTTGTTTAGTGTTACCAGTGATGGTGCGTTCATCTTTCTGTTGGTCCAGAGGCGGCGAGCCATTTCCTTTGTGAGGAGCGAGTCCTCGAAGCTCTCGAATGTGACAGAGAAAGGCCTGCTCCTCCTTCTGCGTATGAGCTGCCAGAACCTGCTTAGTCAGACCAAGTTTCTTGTAGGACTCCATCTCCTGACTCGGAGGTGAAACTGGACGAGGAGCGTTGATGTTCTGGCTGGTTACTGGCATATCTCCTGCAACAGGTACATCCTCTATGATCTCTGCATGGATGACAATGAGACAGGAAGGTTTACTTACTGTATTTTGTGAAGAAACTATTAACCATCCGCAATGATGACAAACTAAGAAAAAAAGACTTGCACAGACGCAGATACCAACAGGTTTTCTGACATTTCACAACTTAGCTGCTCAAGCAAAATCGCAAATGTCAGATGACATCTATGCAACAGTACTGATAACACAAGTGGTTATTGTTCTAAATATGCAAAACTCTAACCTATAATTAAGTGCTAAACAAATGATGTGTCAGGATATTATACAACAGCAGAAACCTCTCTTTGGGGTATCAGGTGCTGGAAGTTAAAATAAATACAAACAACTACACACTTTGGGTTTTCTGTTGCACAACAGGAAGAAAAAAATTAAATTGTGACATTATTTACTTTATTTCCAGATCTCATTTTAGATCTTTAGAAGTATCGCAGAGCTACACATATGCACTCTGTGAATTTTGCTATTTTTGTTGTTCATGTTACATTGTGCTGAGTGATAATGACTGGTGATAAGTTTCAGATGGTGGCATCATTTACCAGTCAGCAAGTCTGAAGCCACCAGACTGAATTTCTTCCTAACGCTTGAGCCTTCACCCAGACTTACATGTGCGTTCCCTGCTTTCAGTTCCTTTTAAGCTGCAGAGATAGGGGCAGTGAACATTTTACAGAGAGGGCGTGGAGTACTTAAAACAAAAAATACATCATCATCTAAATCTGGAACAACATAATTGTCAGTCTCTCCTAAAAAGGTAAAGGCAATGTGCTATTTAACGGTCAAAGAAATATTGCTAACCCAACTACCATTATAATGTGCAGTTTGGTCCATTCCCATTTATTACATTTAGCAAATTTCTCAATCGCATGTGGATAACTTTGGATTTTGATATCTGATGTGGATTAGAAAGAGCAGCAGGAACATGTCTGCTCAGGCAAAAGTTGATGGTATATTATCTTCCTGCCAGAGGTACGCACTGTAACATTAAAATCTGTTTGAACTTGGAGATAAAATTAGCCGCCAATTGTGTTATTTATGATTTTTATACTCCTGTCACATTATGGCATATCTGCCTTTCTATGGGTATCCATGGTTAGTGGTGGGTCCTCCATGAATGGTGCCTTTGGCAAGCCCATTTTCATTTACCCCACACACAACAAACATGCACCAATCATCCTGTTGAAAGACCAGATGGATGGATCTGGTGGTTCATAAAACACAAGTTTTATGAACCACAAACAGTTTTTAAACCATCTGTAAACAGCATTCAGTAATTTAACCAGGTTTTGGTCCAATTTGTTTACTAAAAATAATCTAAAGTCTAAGTCTAAATCAAAGTAGTATAAATCAAAGGTGGCTTTTTGTTTTTACAAATACAGTGAAATTATGTTGTGTCTGTCCTAAAGAAACTATGTTCACTGTAAAATAATTTAATCAAAGTCTGGATTGTCTAAATGCAGACTTTTAGATAATGCAGTATCTGGTTCAGTATGTAACTGAACCAGATACAGCCAACGGGCAGACTAAATATCAATTTAGTCTGTCCAATTAATGTTTTTGTACTGTATGGGGAACCTGGTGCACCAGGAAACAATCCATGCATGTAACAAAACAAAGAAAACATGCAAAGTCCAAGATTGTAGGCAACAGGTCTAATAACTGTGCCACAATTGATCCAATTATTTAATCGAACAACTGCAAATAATCCCATATTACAATTTGTAGATGGCCTATATGGTGAGAATTCACTCAAATCAGCATGCTAACTGCTTAAAATGGTTGATTTTGCAAGGAATTGGATCCATTTTCCATTGATTTCAGCTAATAACTGGATAGCCATGCAGGGACACTCAGACACCATCCATCCTAACAATTGTAGCTCATCAAAAACAACAAAAATTCTTCATATATATATATATGACATGAAGGGGTTTTCATGTCATATATATACTCCTCATTAGTTCATATTTTTATGTTAAAAAACATTTTCAGATACATAAATGGCAAGATAATAAACAGTGTGACAGAAGCTTTAGTCTTTAGATTAAGGTCAAGATAATTCTGGTGACAAAGACTGTGTATATCCAGGAACATTTTGAAAAAACTAAAGTACAAAGACAAAATAAATGTCTTTCTGTGTCCAAGGGTCTTCCTGTAGTAAGTAAGCAACACAGAGACAGTGTCTACACATGCATATTAACATGCTTTAACATGCTTTACATAGTAAAAAAAATAGTACGTAAATGTTTAAAAACTACTGATACCAGAGGACAGGATCTTGTTGAGGAAATAAGATCTAACAAGCAAAAAAATTACTTATTACGTCACCAGCATATAGACATTCTTTGTCACCAGAAGTGTTTCGTGTGAACATGTTGGGTGATAGAGAGACTCTGGCTGGAGGTTTTTCTCTCCACTGTACCTGAATCAGGTTGAGGTTTCTTGTCCCCAACATGCACTATAGTGCTACTGTAGCTACATTGGCTGGTAATGGACACCACACTTTCAGGTTTGTTTGGCACTGGTAGGGGCATCGAAGTGCCTACTACCGCAGTGGCGGGGTCACTGGTCTTTTTGTGAGGATCATCCAAAGCAGAAATAGCAGACTGATCCTTCGATAAGGTTGGTTCTGCCAAAGAGAACAGAGAACAACAGCTGCAGATAAGGCACTGTCATTTGAGAGGCGGCTGAGAGAGATAGAGAATGAGAAGTTCACAGGAAAGAGAGTGAAATTCTCAAAAGAACTTCTTGTGTTGTTTGGAGAGGAAGCGAATCTGATCTACTGGTTGGTTGGCAGCAGCAGCACATACCTTCAGAGACCTGCACAGCATGTGACTTCTTCTGTTTGTCCTCATCAGAGTTAGAGGAGGATGACTGACATTTTCTCTTCATGATGACAGGAACATTATAGCTCTCCAAGTACCTGCAGGAGCCAGTCACAGCATTGATATTATGATCACAAGAACGTTAACAGCAATATTAAGGAGAACCAAAGTATCACATTTCTAAGATGGTTCATATTTGACACTTTGGGTTTGACACTTTGTTTAATTGCAAGAGTGTGGACTAGAACAGGTCAGAGAAGATCACAAGTCTTGACTCTTTTTGATGCAATAGAATGTTTCATTGGGTTTTACAGAGAATCTTTTAGGTAAACTAAAAACCTCCAGTTTAAAAAAATGTCAATAGCTAGCTTTTTTTTTTTTTTGCAGAATAAACCTTGGCTTGTCAAAGTGTCTGTTTTTATGTGTATACCTGATTACACTGTCTAGACAGCTGATTTGCTGGTAGGAGTAGACAGTCTGATCATTGAGGTCAAGGTCCTCGTGAAAAGGGACCCGACTGTCCGCGGCGGTGGCCTCCCTCCAGCTGATCGGGGGAGCTGAGTCTTTGAGACGGACAACCGCCTGGCTGTTCTGTCCTGACACTAGTAGAGACAGACCAAAAATTAGTTTCTGAATAAATGTGACAATCACTTGATTATTTAAAAAAATGACTTACTGTTATTGCTACGTTTGTGTTCTGATTTTGCCGTCTGTTGCTCTTGGTTCTTCTGAAGATGAATTCCCTTACAAATTTCCTGAAAAGTACGCTTTGGAAGAGATTGTACAAATGAGTTGCTTCGTAAGATCACTTTGCAGTTAAGTGGTTTCAGGGATTTAGCAAAAAAAAAAAGTGCTGTGAAATCAGACAGTTGTGTGCAGTTTTACTCACAGGTCTGCTTTTGCTGCTCTGCTCCCCTTCCTTTTGTTGTTTTTTGCCTTGTTTACTGTTCAGGCTCTCACTAGAGGAGGAGGTCATGCCCTGAAGGTACTCATTGCTGTTAAGGCTGCTGTAACCACTCGACCCACTGTTGTGAACCGGCTGATAAAGGATGGAGAGGGAAGAAGAAAAAACAATAAGATAAAGAGATGCCGGCATGTCGCAAAATGTGTCTTGTTTGCACCCAAATTATTGAGTTTTAATCTTTTCCGGAATATTACTTTATCTCTATAATCTTATATACCATTTTTTAGCATTTGCTCCCGAATCAGACTTTCTAGTGATCTATTAACCCCTTGACTGTCATGGACTTACATGTAAGCATTTTGAGGGTGACAGGTAAAGACACAATTCACACAAACAAGGACAAATAACTATTTAATGCAGATTAATTGTATCTGAAAGTCAAGTTTTAAAGAACTTTTAAAGGACTTAGGTTGATCATTTACCCTATGCAAGGTTTTATTTTTTATATTGGATTATCTTTAGGTGCTTGATTAAAATGACAATGTAAGTCCAAGGAGAAACTTCTCAAGATCTCCAGTAAGCCTGATGTATTCAAGGCTACTTTAGAGGATTGAAAGAAAGTCTGCAGATGTTTGCAGAGTATTGTTAGGTGGCCATCTTTTTTCACCTGCAGCAAAAGCCGATGAATCTGCTCTGTTATTTCCTGGATGTCTGAGTCCATATTCTTCATGTGACCCATGCTTGAGGCCGGAGTCGTGAAAATGTCCTCATTCATTGGGCCCCTGGTAGAAAATCACATCAACAGGTAATGACTTACAAGAACGTTTAAAATCTGATAAAAACCTTTCTATACAAAGCTTCAGTAAAAACTGTCTCCTGCACAGAAAACATGAGCAGTACTCACATGCGAACTTTATGCCTCCCGATAACAAAGGAAACCTTTCTGCTCCAGGGGTTGACGAAGGTTGACCAGCTGGTGTCCAGGACGATGTATTCTCCATTTTGAGCACAGAAGCGGATGGACGAGTGGTCGAATGGCTGCCCTGCATGCTGTATGACTGGAGTACAAAATACGAAGAATTAAAACTCAGATCTTGGCGAATGCATAGCTGATCTGTTTGATCTGTAGACTCACTTTTTCTATGAATGGCCAGCATGACGGGCCAGTCACTGGGATGCAGGTGAAAAAGAATCGGAGTACCGATGAGGTCCTGCGGGAGGTAACCAAGGAGAGGAACAGCCCTGACGCAAACATGAAAAGATTATCTCTATTAGTGTTACATATTTAGTATTTGGAATATAAAATGGCCTTTAAGGTTTTTTTAGATTTTGTCACATTACAACCACAGAATAATAGATTAAAAGAAAATAGTACAACAAAGCTACAAAAGATTTGTTTTTGTGGGGTGGATATCCCCCTTTCAGCATGGTCCAGTTAAAGCCTAAACCTAACACCTTTTCTTGCCTTTCACTTTCTACTTTTAAAGCAAAGGACATTTATTTTTGCAGCTTCAATGTTATGGAACAGTTTCTTTATTAATTTTTACAGTTTTCCTTGTATGTTCCATTTTTTTGTTGTTAATCTTTATTATTTTTATACTTACTTTATTCAGAACTAGAGTTAGTGCTTCTCATTCTTAAAGAACTTTATAAATAAGATTGGCTTGATTATACTTTGTGCTGTTCCATCACATGAAATCCCCAAGAATATATAGGTTTTAGTTATAAAACAACTCATTGTGAAAATCTTCAAAAGGCATAAAAAGATCTGCAAGACACTGAAGGAATACAGAAAGTGCCCTGAACCCTTACCTCGCATCCACATCCTGAAACACACAATTTGGAGTGTGTGTGGTGGTGAAAATGCGCTTATCTGGTGGAATTCTGGGTGCTGCAAGCAAAATTTTGGAAAATAATTGAAATTGTTAATATTTAAAAAATTATAATAATTCAGATATTTGTATGCTAATATTCTGGTCAAAGGAGCATTTTTACCTTCGTATCCAGAGTGAACCCTCTCAGCCAGCAGGAGGCAGCAGAGCTGGTCTTCATTATGAGATACATCCTGCACCTTCATCAAATAAGGGGTCATGCGGAACGGATAGTACCGCAAATCACCCTCGAACTCGTTACCGCCACTGAATATCAGAAACAATAATTTAGCAATGAGTCAACCCAAGAAAAAACAGCATGTTTCAGTCAACTATGTAATAAAATGATCTACTCTTAGTTTGAAAATTGAACACATGGTGGCAGTATTTAGCAAATTTTCACTTCAGACACAAAACTTACATTTTGGACCCTCAAAAATAGGAAAAATCCAATCACTTGAACAAATGCAATTCTTTTAATTTTTTTTTGTGTTTCTCCAAAAAAAAATACTTTTTCCATTTTAACCTAGAAGAAGCATCTTATTATGCCCTGCATGAATGTGACCTCATATACAAAATGAGAAACATCCGAAAGATTTAAATGCATGAATAAAACCAACAAACAGATACGAGCAGCAGATGGCCAGAAGTGATGGAAACAGACCTGATACGACAGAAAAAGGACTTCTCCTGCATACAGTCAGAAGGAGACGGATCTGAAAGAGGAAACATTTATTGTAAATTCAAAGGGAACACGATCCACACAGAATGCAGCCAAAACCAGGTGCATCAGGTCTGAATAAATGCATCAAAAATCAACATTCAAACACCTGGCCCTGCACACAGTGAATATGTAAAAAAATGAAAGGGGGTCAAATGCATAATTTACGTCTCTAATTTAAAGCTGCAGCATTTATATGACAAATTAAAGATTTTCTAAAGTATGGATATATATTTTCATTTTCTATGGGTCTCTAGAAGCTTCAATTTATTTTGACATTCTTTCTGTAATCATGCACTTTGAACAAAGACCTCAGGTTCTTCTAAATTAGAAAAAATATATATATTGACCTTTTAATATTCTGTCATGTTACAACTACAAGCTGAGAAAATGTTACACGGTTTTCAAAATATTTTGCAAATAAAAATCTAAAAACATCCATTTTTATTCCATTCCCTTTATTCTGATACCCTGAAACAAAGTTCTGCACCACCAATTGCCCTAAGAAGTCTCTTCTATTCTGTGTGTAACAATAAGTTTGAAAGGCATTTTTAATATGTTCAAGAACAATGAGTGGTTATCAAATGTAACAAAATGGAAAAATGCAGAAAACAGTATGTCAGTGTTGTCTAAATTGATTTGCATGCATATAATAAAATAAATGGACTTTCAAAGTACATTGAAAGTCCATTTATTTGAACAGTATCTGAACTTTGCTAGTGGTTTGGATAGAGACTTGTAGCTCTTGGTACCTGCTCCAGTGCACATGCTCCAGGAGGGCAGGCGGTAAGGGGTGGTGAAGCTGTAGAACACACTGATATCCTGCGGCATCAGAAACTCCACAAACTTAGAGTCCTTGAACGCATCTCTTCTACAGTTGAGGATGGAGGCAGCCTGGTCAGATATATAGATGATTTTTCCTGTGCTCAGGGAAACCGCCACTGCAAAAATGTCCTGCAGATACCAAAAAATGATATCTTAAACTTGTGACACGCACCAGTTGGGGAAAAAACAACAACACAGACTTAGTCTTACGTTGTTTTTGAGGGTGTACTCTGAAGTGATGCTGTCTATCTCCTCTATGGTATAAGAAGAAACATCTGGGCCAGAGGGATGACTGTCATTGACCATCATCAGCTGGTAGTACTCCTCATTTGCTATAAGAGAAAAGATGCAGTAATTTTGTCCAAACTTGTCCAAACTTGCAATCCTCTCTCAAGAACATTGTTTAATAATTAAAATGATAAAACATTTAATAACTGAAGAACTGCACTACTGAATACTACACTGGATAAATAGCTGTATGAACCATACCATGCATATAAACAGGCATGACAAAGGCATTTATTTATACTGTAACATATATAGTATATATCTTATACTCATAAAGGCAAATAGAAATTGTTCATAAAAACAATCTGAAGCACAAATAAGGCAAAGAGGTTGTTATCTGCAACAGACCTTCCACTTGCTTCACACAGCGCAGGGCATATTTCAGCGCGCTCAGTGTGGTCGACTTGCTGTTGCGCTGCTTGTCAGCTGGCATGTGACGTTTGAGCTCCTTCAGCGTTTTAATCACCTCCTTCTGGTTCTTGGCTTTCGCAGACTCCTGACTACTGCAAGACGGACAAGTAAACAACCAAGAGTCACTTATAGCACTAATGAAAAGGGACTCTTACAAACAGACTAAATTACGATCTTGATCCTGACAGCAGCGGCGGTCATTGAGCTAACCTGCAGCCGCTGGTTGAAGGGTTGTCCTGCTCCGAGCTCAGCAGACTGTAAGCGTTGGAGCTGCTGGGAGGAGATGGGCTGTGGGAGTTGGAACTGTGGAAGAGAGAAGGAATATTTTCAAATTGCAACCTGAAAATGGAGTAAAAATCACTTCAGTTCCAAAAAAGAGATTTCATGCTGATGTTTAATCAACCAGCTTTTTCACTGTTCCAAGTAAGCAGAAGGAGTACAATGAGGCACAATCAATTCTTCTCTGAAGTACAGACTTATCATGTTTTTCACACGCATCTGAGGATCACAAGTTTCTTTCAATGAAAAAGGACAAGTGTCCCCATTTTCACACTTTGGGCCTGTTATTAACTCAAGCTAAAAGAAGATCATCTGTTTTTGTACGCCTTTTGTTAATACAAAACAAAAATCACACTCTTATCCTGAAGTCTTTGTCATCTCAATGGCTGAACAGCAAGAAAACAGCACTGTGGTCAAGCGTGAGGTCAAAACACAACAGGGGGCAAAGAACAAGCAGTGGACAGAATCTCTGCCTGTCCTCTTGGTGTTCAGATTTAGAAAGGCGTGCTTGATCGTTTTTTTTCAATACAGTTTCTTGCCTTCTGACTCCATTACCTCCAGAACAGCCGAAGAACCTGCGCAACTTAGAATCTCAATAAAAATATATCTTTTTAGAGACTGAATTTTAAAAAATGAAAGTGATATTTTCTATGCTTTCAATGCACACATATAGATAGGTTTCAAGCCTTTTTTCTGGTCATTTTGATGAGAACAACCAAAAGCAATCTCTCAGATAATTTGAATATTACACAAGAGTTTTTAAATCTTATCATCCTCATTTTGTCCTATGTTTAGCTTTTCTATGTTTTCATTTTCAAAGAAGAAGCACAAACTAAAATCTATCATGTTCATTGTTCATTCATAAAGGAGATTTAAAAATAGAAAATAACACCCGTTGTTCTTAAACCAACATCCTTCTGCTGAAGTGAATACAGGAAAACATATTTACATGAGAAAAGAAAGTTTTACTTCTGACATAAACAGGATTTGTTTGACCTCAACTACAAGAGCATTTGCTCTAAATCAAACAAACCACAACCTTCGTTCAGTCTCAGCAACCTCAGATAATAACAGGTCTATAAGAATATACAGTAAACAGCTCTAAGACAACAACTCATGATCTCATTCAGCTGAGAAATCTGGAGCTCTGCTAAAAGAAATTCTGGAATAGCCATCATGGCTGACCGTTTAAACATGTCCTGTTTGTCTTAACTTAGTCTCTCTTCGTAACGTGTATCTAAAATAAGGGGTGTTAACACAGAAGCGTACGACTAAGACTAACACTGCATAATACCTATATCTAGCACACTTGTTCTAAAATAGACCGAATCGTTATTCCTGGCACAGGTGAGTGCAAGTTCAGTGTAAGCCTTTAGTTCCCAGAGACACTACACGTGGTTTCAGTCTGAACACAGGTTTGAGAATGCAAAACCTTTTCTTTTCAGTTGACACTGCGGTGAAATCTGAACAGAGAACAGAAACTGGCAACTCCAAATCAGCACCTCTGCCCTACCTGCCTATGTAACACTTCTTATAATATACATAAAGAATTAGCCGCCAGATTTAGAGCAAGACTATTAGCAGCTGTCTGAGAACCTGACTCATCTGAACTAAAACTGAACAACTATAAATAACCCTGATTACCTGCTCAGAATAGGTAACATCTTCACAAATAGCCTTCCTGAGCCAAAGAAGGAATCTAATTCAATCTAAATAGCCTTCTGTCCTGCACAATGCAATAGCTGGTTTTAGACTAGACAGTCTAAATATGTCTTAGTGTCCAGTGAGCTAATTGGTATCATAGCGGGGAGTCTGTAGGTCAGGAAAAAGTTATATAAAGAGTGCGCTAAAAGTGGCAGTGTAAGAGACATTTCAGTTGTCCTCCGGGAGCAGAGACACAAAATGAAGGTCAGAGGAAACTGGTCTTGTTTAATTAAAACTCTTCTACTCACAGGTTGTTGATTCCTTTATGTTTAAGAGACATAACTGGGACAGGAAAGGCATTACATTTAAAATTGGCAAGGGACATTTACCATTTGGCTTTCATGTTTTTTTTTCTCACTGAATGTGACGGGAATTAATTAAAAACACGACCATCAATAAATTAGTTGAATCCATTCACTCTTTTGTTTCCTGTTTTGATCCTTAACATTATCTCTTTTCGATATCTGATTTGATTTGTATCAATCGACCCCATGGCACTGAAAATCAGTTGACCAGAGGGTCCCTGCTTAGCAGAGTAAATAATCTTTCTAGCATAAAGAGACCATGATCAAAACCTTACAGACTGACAGTCATTAGTTAAACTAATACATCTGAACAATTTGGAAAAAATTTTAAGCTGCAATCTACTGTAATGTTTCTGTCTATATTCAGAAAACCTGCAGGATTTGTGGCATAGAGGAGCTCATTCAGTACAATACTAAGCAGAAGTTATTACAGTGATGTAATTCTAGATTCATGTAGCATTTGGCTTCTGGGAAATAAAACAATACAGTCATAAAAATGAATCACTTATCAGTGATCCTTGAATAAACTCCAGAAAGCCTTTGCCACTCGCACGCAAGCTACCACCAATAAATGTCACAAAGGAGATGCTTAGACTTTGGCATGAGCACGTGACATTTATCTGATCAATTGGCATATTAATATTAGTAATAGGAGACCATATGGTACTAGAACATATGGTCATTTTAAGCAACACATTTATTTTCTCTATTGAAACAAGTACAGGATTATTATTTTCAAACAGTTCCAGTAGGACATAATGATAAACTGATCACTGATATTAGTATGTAGATAACGTTTCATGAAACCTCCTTGGAAATGTACCCCAAACACACCAGGAAGTGGGCAACTCCAGCCTGGGGCAAGTGTCCTGCATGTTTTAGATGAACAAGCCAAGCAGGTTTCTGATGAACTTAGTAACAGTGAACTGGTTGAATCAGGTGTGGTAGAGGGTGTAGCTTAGCATGAGAGCATCTAACATGTGCAGGGCACGGGTGTCAGATTTAACCACTTTCAGTCTACAGGCTTTTTGGGAGAACAAAACTAAGAAAAGAGGGTTTGAATACCTTTATAGTTTTTCATGATGTATTTAAAGTTGGTAAACTTCCTTCCCTTACTTTTTGATAATTCATATTTTCCCATCTTGTTCTGTTTGGTAGAAACAATATAGTCTCAGTCTGACCAAGTAATTTTTTTCACAATTACAAACCATTTTTCCTGTCATTATTTTGACATTGCAGCAAGAGGAGAAGAATCTATAACATTAACTGAGTTTAAAATTTGATGAACTACCTGTATAAACCACAGGTTTGGCTAATTTTACAAAGACAAACTAAAGTTAGAATATAAGTAACAATAATGTTAACATGGGCCAATTGTCAGAGTCTTTTGAGATAATACCATTGGCAACACTCATTGTTCTTCTCCTGAGAAGCACGAAGCTGAAAGTGTAATGGGGAAGATCTACTGCAGCAGCAAATAGAGCCAAAGCAGAGCAACATGAAAAGGACATAAAACATGCTAGTAACGTCAAGAACTGACCAATTATTAAGAAATGAAAGACCGTGGGTCTTAATCCAGTTGAGACATTATGGAATGAAAGCAGGAAGTACATGCAAAAGCCAAAGGACATATGATAACCTTTTAGGGATAGTTTAATAGGTTAATATTTGGTTGTAATTAATCACTTGAGTTTCCAGAATTTTTTTTATATATGCCGATCTACATATATCAAGAGAGTAGATAAATACAAAAACATTCTGAGGTGTACCTCCTAAAAATGGAGAACAAACAATGTAGAAAGTAAACTGAGCTGACTCAGACTTGGCAGACAGGGGTGCTATGTAGCAACACAAAACCAGAAACAGTTATGTGGGTTTAAAATACGTCACTCTGTCAGCAGACAGAGCGTTAGATGCCAGAAGGGAAATAGACCGTGGCGGAGAAGGAGCGGTTTAAAAAAGAGCCTGGATTTGAAGTAGTAAGGGCAGGTCAAAGTAAGGCAGAGCCTAGAGTGAGTAAAGACGTCAGAGCTTGCGACCGGGTTGCTCCACCCAGAGATAAACACACACAAACAGTGCATTGTCATGGCAACAAGGAGTAGGAAAGCGTGACATGGCCCATCTGGCATCGAAGAAAAGCCAGCTTCCAGCCTTCGAGATGACATCAGTTTGCTTTTCCTGCTGGTTGATACAGTCATGTATTTATTCCTCGGCTCTGTAAGTTTCCTGGGCGAGCTGTATAATGTCTGAGTCTACTTCTGGAAATGATGATGACAGGAAAATATTCTACAAGCTTTAAAACTGACTCTTTTTTTTTTTGTTTTAAACCAATTCTTACATGTCAGAAAAAGAAGTTTGATATCACAAAAACGCATAGAATTAAAGGTGCTGTCCAAGATTTATTTCAAAAGTTGAGATTTATGAATAAAAAACCTTGCGTATGTATCACTTAAGGTTCAGAAAAATACTGTCCTCGGTTAAGCATTTGTAAAGAGAGGATAAAAATTGACACATGAGCTTATCTGTTTTTGCAAACCTTGAATGTTGATCCTAGCCTCTTGCCACATAAACACACTAAAGCTTTTAGATTATCAACTTTGAATCTATGACTTAGTTTATGTGGAAAATTTAACAGACAATCTTATATGAAATATGAAAGATTCATTGTGCTACATGAATGCTCCTGTATGTGTTAAGTCTGTAAAGTTAAAGCAGAAAAACATTAAAATATTCAATCCACCATGTGACTTTGTGTGGATGTGGAATAAAAAAAACATTGTTTGCCATAAAATAATGTTGTTTGACCGCAGTTTGCACAACAGCTGCTTTTCCAATAAAACACAGGAGATACAAGATAATCTCAACATGCAAGCCAAATCACATCTCACGCCTGCCAGACAAAACATGGTTTTAACCAAACTGCTGGCAAAACAACTTATCCACGACTTCAACCAGAAACCAGATCAGACTCAGCTGCTCATAATGTGATCTGGCTGGAAGCTAGTCCCAAGCTATGAAGTGCTAAACAGTTTTACAAAGTTTCCCTTCAGCACTGGATAGCTTACCTTAATGTTATTAGCCCCTTGTTATAAGAATATAACAAGGTATGATCGAAATATTATGTTGCTAAAATATTTCTGTCCAGCTATTCATCTGGTTTAGAATAGTTTAAATCTAATGACAAAAAAATAACTACAATTAACAATCGTTATTTTTCTGTTTCAAATCAGAGCGATTAGATCAAATATATATATATTTTTTGTTTCAAATTCTACTGCAAGTACCAAGAAGCTAAGGTATTATTGTGAGAATTTCACAGTCTAGTCTAAGTTTGAAAAATGTTTAGTGATTCTGTTAGCTAAACAGAATCACTGTAAAATGCAGTGCCCATTTACCAGGCAGCATTTAAAAATGTTGTTTATAAAGGGCCATTTATGGAGGGAAAATTTTTACTAAGATTATTTTTTAAGGTTAAATGCTTAGTGAGCTTTGACTCACTCTACGTCTGACATTAGTTATGCATTCAGTACTCACAAATTCATTTGAGCCATTAAAAGGAGGGCAGCACATACTGTTTCATTTTTAAATGAAATGCCCTTGAAATGCCAAGGGTAAACATGACGACAAATGCTTGAGAACATAAATGTATTTAGCATAAATTCCCCTATTAGAAATCACTAGAGTGCAATGATATAATAGAATATTCAATTTAAGTGGAAAAAGGTTCCTGGAGTGTTAATTACAAGCAACGGCTGTTATCTGAAGTCAATAAGTGGGTCTGAGTGACTCTAATACTATTTTTACCTTTTTGTTGATCTACTGGCTGAAGTCTCATTTTAAAAACCTGAACTGTTTTGGCACTGCATCACAATCGATGATCAGCCTATGTTAGAGGTGAATGACTGCGTGGCTAAATCCCTGAACCTAATTTCCCCATTCAATTTTATGGGTTGCTTGCTGCTTGTAAACTGCTTTATATGTTTCATAAATAGGCTATCCCAGCCATTTATGTTAAGGTCCTGCTGCACAAATAGCTAACAGGAACGTTTTAAAATTTGATTTAGGAGAGTAAAGCGTCTGTGTAAATCTCTTTGTGTTGAATAGAAAGCAATGGCTACATTAAATCTTGTAGCTTTAATCAGGAGTGGTAATTAGCCGCACTGCTGTAGACTTCTACAAGTGCCAGTAGAAGTAATAAAAGTAGCTGAATCTGAATATGGCCCTACATTCTTGACAAAAATAAAAAATAAAAAACTTACACTGACAATGGCAATTTATTTGGCTCGTTTCTGGTGAGACTAACCAGAAAAGGTTTTGTCTTCTGTTTTGCCAAAGGGATCTGGTGATTTTGCCCTTTTTGCCATTCAGAGTGAACATTTAGAAGCGAGGGACAAATGGACCTACTGAAATGGAGCCATATTAGCAGGAAAAGCAGTTTATTAGTTGCTCTGTGCTCTAAGAAGCATCTGACTAACGGTTCTGTTATCAAGTAGTATTGTTCACATTCTCTTCATTTCAGGTCATTCCTATTAAACTTGAGTAGTCATAATTGACAGAGTTGAGTGTGCTTGTTAGGCCCCTGTGGCGATAGCCCTTCCAGGAGACCCCATGCTGTTCATTTACATAAGGGTTGGTAAATCTACAAGTCTGTAAATGATTAATTGAAATTATAATGAAGTCCAAAAACATCCAATCACTAGAGAAAACTAATTTCTCTGAGCAACACCTAAAAAACACCTTCTTACTGTGGTGGAAGGGGAAGTTGCTGTAAATTGGCACCGATTGGAAAACTTAGTAGCATGTCTTTTTTAAAACTTGTAATTAGAAATTATGGTAAAGAAAAGAAAGTTCTGCCATCTCTCACCTTTTATTGCTGCCTGAAGATTCTAGCAATGCCGAATCTTTACTCCGGCTGTTGGAGCTGCCCGTTGACTCATGACCGTTGCTGTCATTCCCACGACTCTCATTGCCATGCGATTCTGTCCCGCTGCTGCTGGACCCACTGCTCTTCATCTCCACATCCTCCTCGGGGGACAACCGAGAACGCGATGTCTTGCGCACGTTGTGAGGAGAGAGGGCGGGGTCCTGACCGCTGCTATCACTGCCCTCAGAGGGCAGTCCAAGGTCAGGTCTGCCCTGGGTATAGCTGCCCACCCAGCGCATCTGTGCCATGGGGCTGCTCGAAGCCGAGGCTCCATCCCGATCTGCCGGAACCGGCAAGGGGTAGGGCTTGGCGTCTGAATGGTCCGACATCAGGAAAAAGTCTTTCCCGGGGTTGTTTCAGGTTAGTAAGAACGCAATCATCCCATTGCCAGAAGAATGACAACTGAGTGGACGAAAGGTAAATGAACTGATCTGTGGAAAGAGAGCACATGTGTTAAACATGATTGAATCTGTTTCTATTCACAATTTTAAATATTTAGAAAAAACATGACTTAGCATCCAGTGAAGGCAAAAATTACGTTTGAAAATGTATTAAAGTTGCAAAGTTCTTTGACATGAGATCCAGACAGTAAAGATGTTCTCTGCATTTGTACCCAGTGGTGCCAAATAGTCAATGCTATGATGATTTTTCAACATAAGATTGTGTCTGCCTGTTCATTTGAACAACTATATAAATATAAGAAGAATAATGCTTGCACAAAGTTAAAAGCAGAAAAACATTTCACCAATCCTCTGGTCATGTTGAATGCCTTAAATGTTTGTGTATAACTTTGTCCAAGCTTGTTTTTACAACTAACCTAAATTTGGAGCACAGTTGTCAGGATTTCAGGAAACCATAATGAATATAAATGACTTTAGATTAATCAACTAATCCATAATGGTCTGTATAATCCCTCCTGTGGCATATTGGAAACTGAAAATTTATGTGGTTAAAAAAAATGACAGGAGCTTGGATATCAATAATTAACACTTCTGTAGATCTTATCAGATGACTGTGCACAGTGTGACACGTCTCTGACCTGCTGCAAAGTTGGCTCATGTCCTGCATTTGAGCTGCCAAGTGAAATAGGTCAGCCTGCAGTCAGTAAGTAAATGATCAATCAGAGGTGATGAGTCTTGAAAAGTGAAAAGAAATGGTCAAAGTTGACCAAAAAGGTCACCAATGCTTGACAGAATGGAGCAAGTGACAATTGAACACAGGTGGCAGGCCTGGGGCCAGAGGTAAGAAGAAGGAGCAGCAGATCTTTAAAGGATTAAAAGTGCAGCAGAGCAAAGAATAAGAAAGAAAAACAAATCTCTAATGACGTCTTTGGCTAAAACCAGAACGGGCATGCAGAGACAAAGCACTGGCATCCAGATACGATAGGAAACATAAAAGCAATGCGCAAATGTTTTAAACGACTCCTAACTCTGTATACTTTCCTTCCAATGAGTCAGATTTTCTTGCAAATGTATACAGCGGTCAGTATCAATAGTTACTGGGCCTTTGCGAAGGTCAGTATTATTCTTTGGAATTTGGCTTCATTTTGACATATTTTTAGTGCTTGTACATGACCCTGCCAGGGCAGTTTGCAGGGTTTTCTTAAAAAATAGGAAAGTGGACAAGTGAAGGATGGAAAAGGAATTATGAGGCCAGAGAATATCTAAAAACTAACACAATAGAAATTACCTAAAAATCCTCAAAAACCTGACAAAGGGCCAAGAAAGTGCATCCTCTTCTCTTCAGGCCCAGATGGAGCGAATTAAACTACAGGATATAAATAAAATGTGACGTCAGGAAAAAAAATTTAAATCTGCAAAAAAAAACCAAATCTACGATGCAACACTTGAGCTCACTGTGGTTAGGATCATAAAAAAAAAATCCCCTTCACAAAATGCAATGACTGGACCCATTCCCCCATGTAACTTAGAGACAATCCTCAAACAATGTCTCTGCACAGAGTGAACAGACTCCTCTGAACTTCTCAAAGCACTTACTGAGCTGTTTTTTCCCCCTGTCAGAAAGTGCAACTGAGGCAGAAGATGCAATGGAAAGTCTAGTCCAAAGCTGAAAGCGCTATCTGACAACCTGACAAACCACCAAGTCCAAAAGATTATACTAGTTACCAATGTGAGAGATTTTTTATTTATTAGCTAACAATCAATCCAAGTCAGGTGATTGTGCAACAGCAGACATTACAAACATGTTTCAACTTTTAGACATTACGTTAAAATATTTCTGAACAATCCTTTGGGCATTTCTATGGAAGGAGAAGCTGCTAAAAAGATATCTACAGATCAACTATGTCATTTTTTTATTGTAAAGGGAGCTATTTGTGTCTCATGCACATGTGCACTGAAGCAAATTTTACTTCTTTGCCAATAAATAAAATCCAGCTGAGCAGCTGCAGAGAAAGTAGGAGAGGACAAAACAAAAATCTGGCTTTCCTTTGTCCCTGTTGGGAATCCATTGATCATTTTAAACACCAATCACAATGGACTTTGCTTCCCAAACCACCTTTTCACATTTTTTTTTGTTTCTGCAGAGTCATCAGACTCTTCCTCATAATGCAATCAGCACATGGGCTGACTCGATTAAATGATGCAGTCAAAGGGCACACCATCTGCCTGGCACGCTATAAAAGCTATGACGTACATCCGACATTAAGGTTCGGTCAATAAGGTGCAGGTGTCTAAAACCGCAAGATGAGAAAGATAACACAATTAAGAGGTATATATGTATCATACTGTATGGTCAATTTAATCCAATCTTGTTGGTGGTTAATAGAAGCACATGAAAGTCTATTACTCTTAAATTAATATTTGAACTTTTAATCTGCTGAAAACATACCATGGTAGGGGGCTCAAGGGAAACTGCCATCACAGTTTTTAAATATTTTGGAAAAAAAAGTCTAATTTGCATCAAACTAAATTTGAAAAAATACAAACATCTGGTATTACGACGAACTGTTTGTAAATACTGTAAATATTAGTATCTAAATTTATGTAAAGTAATGCAAATTTAGGTCAGAATTTAATTCATCACAATTGCTTTTGTGTCACTACCCTACACACAACACTTTATTGCATTCATTTTTGAGTAATTAAGAAAAAATTCACCACAAATGTCTCTCTTTTTTAACATTGATGAAGATTCAGTGCTGCCACTTTTTTTGGTGCACTGTCTCCTATACCGAGCCTCAGTTGCCCTCTGTTGTAATATGCATCTTGCATAGCGACTGCCAACCTAAATATTAGCTTGCGTTGGTCTCTGGATTCTTGAACTCAAAGTTTCAAAGGGCATGCACAGGCTGGCAAAAACTTCTCTGTCCTCTCAGCAGGTTGAGCTAGCACTGTGACACCATCATTTCAGAGGCAACACTTTAAAATGTTCTTTCATTCAACAATCAGTATTTAGATCAGCTTTGAGAACATTAATATGCTCATTTAACTTCTCCACTCCTGAGCTTTTCGCTCTGCCGCTGTGTGTGTCCGTGGAGAGCTGTAGGGACGGCAACCCTTCTCTCTGATTTCAACTGTATGATAAACAGATCTAAATGACAAATCCCTTGTTAGCCTCTACTTGCGTCAAACATCTTGTCTCCTCCCACTCCATTCATGAAGATAAACTGAAGCTGGCTGTATTATTCTGCAACTGTTAGCGAAGTCAACTTAAATCTGACGTTCCGGATTTTAAAGCTGGACAAAGGATAAGGCTGGAGTACCTTTCTAAAGTATTCACACTCCTTGAATTGTTCCACTTGTGATCATTTTCACAATCACAAACAGAAAAAAACTTCTGAGAGAAATAATGGCACTACATTTTGTTCAGGAGTATGGAAATAAACAAGACAGAATACATATCAATTTATTAAAATTTGTGTCCTGAATTTATGGATTTGCCTTTTCTCTTACTTTGCTTCTTGTTCTTATAGAATAATGTAAGGTCAACACCTATACTTTAAAAATAGTCATTAACTTTTAAACCAGGACCGTCCCTAGGATGTTTCTTGATTATATTATATTGGGGGACCAAATTTGGAAAACTACATAACTTCAAGTGCCCTACCCTAACTCTTCCAGAATGTCATTCAAACATTTATTTAGTAGATACATGCATCTCTGAAGTAGATATCTAACCTAACAGCAACCAAAACAACACTAATAAGTTTTCCTAATACATGGTCCTGGCACAGGTTGGCATACATGGCGCTTTGGTTGCTTACAAGGGTATGATATTGAGCTTAATTCCTGCAGGAAATGTTTCTTTTTTTGTTTGTTTTTTTGCTAATATAAATTGTTTTAATAAGCCTTTCTAGAGTGTTGCCAGTTAAGTTTCAGCGAAAAAGTAGTCCCTTGGATACCTTTGATAACTATGTTTGCATTTTACTGGTGCAGGCTGGTAGAAGTTAGCAGAGAGCATCCTCCACCTGAATAGCGTGCAAAGCTTTCCACTGCATTTTATCTGATTTAAGGTGAAGACATCTGCCGCTGCTATAATGCTGTCAAATCAGATTTGGGTTCAGTTCACTTACGTTTCATCTCTATGGTAGTTAAATGCCTGACTGAAGAGATCATGGTCACATTGTGGTGAATTGGATTAAAACAACAGTAAGACTGAAAAGCATCGAAGCTAAAATGTGGCAGACGCTTATAAAGTCACACCACTTCCACTGTTCAACCTACCAAACATGTATATATTAGAATATTCTTTTTTTAAATCCAGAGATTTTAAAACTCTAATTATATAAATGTCATACATCTCTAGTTGTTCCAGGCCCAAGAGTGAGTGAAAGACATTAAAATAAGAAACAATGAATATAAAAATAAGAACATATCCATCCAATAATTTCCGACATTCTCGTAACCCTAGCCTACCTATCGCCAGCAACCAAGTCACAAAACAGGGCCAAAATTTCATGAATGGACTCAGGCCAAATAACCATAAAGGCATATTTCTCGATCAGAGAAAGACACTGGAGTAACCATAGAGAGAGAACTTGCAAAATTCATGCATGACCCAATTATTTCCACAAACTATAATAAAATTATAAAAAATGTTACATATATACCATAATTATATAATACTAGAAGTTCCCAGCACCCTTCCCTTGGCACTGGCCCTGTCATCTTTAAAGTTGTAGTCACGGTGCTCTCACTCATGTAATTACAATGAATGAACGGTTCATTCTGCCAGCCTCCTTCTACTCAGCTCCTCGTACTGCATATTCCCTAATCGGAGTGGCATGTGAACTTGTGCCATGTGCAACTGCAGCATAACACTTTACATAAGGCTCGGTACCGGCGTTTTCGTGACACTGACACCACAGGGTTCACCTATTCACTTGTATCTACTGAGCTCCAGAAGGGACTCACCGCTTCGGCCACTCTGCGCCAGTTTTACTGCTTCAACTTTCTTTTCTGGATGCTTTCACTCGCCGTGTGCCAAGTCGCTTAAAGCCCCGGCCAGCTGCTGAATCATCCCGCAGCAGGTAAAGCGGTTACTCCGTCAGGGATTTCCAGCAGTCAAGAGGGCAGACGTCCAGTTAATTGAGGTGTGACCTTATAATGCAATACCCAACTCGTTATTTCATACGGACATATAATAATCTTCACAAACCTCACGGAGGGCTTCAACTCTATTTTCTGCGATGGTTCCGTGGAAAAAAAAATTCTGAAGATATAGCCACCTTTCCAGAAGGATTTTGGTCCGTCCGCTCCTTCTGGGCTGCTTTCACAAATTTCTCTCCCCGGCTGCGGTGTCCAGGCACTGCCCTGGATCCTCAACGCAAGCAGTGACCTCATTACAAGCCTGTGTTCGAGCACTTCCTACTGCTCTTCTCCCATTGGTCTGAATGAAAGCCAATCACCGCCTCTCCGTGATTCGGACCAATCAGCGTATCAACGAGCTGACGGAGGCTGGTTGCGCAGCCACCGCTCGGCAACGTGATTCGTCCTTTCTGCTGTCAGTCGTTTTATATAAGGTTGTGACGGGCTTTTCACATGGTAACCCACGCCTGATGGCAGCGTGGTGTGAGAGAGCAAATCACTACGCCGGAGAAGCCGGTGAATGAAGCAGTGGCCAGGGTTGGCTCATAACGGCTCAGAGCGACCGGCTGTTATCTAAAAGGTTATACAAGAGTGTGCATGGCAATGTGGTGGGGACTGTTTGTGCGCAGTCATTCGCGTAAGCAAAAAAAGGGTTTGCCTTAACAAAACCGTGATATCTCTCGAGGTCTTTTGAAAAGCGTGTCCAATTTATAGTCTTTCTTACGTAAAAATTAATTTAAGTGATAATGCACTTTGTTCACAGCGTGGTATATTCTAGGTCCACGCGATGCTCAGGAGGCGTATTGTGTCACTAAAAGTGATGTAAAATGTTTCTGTTTGGACGCTTTAAATAACTTTGAAGGTTCGGGAATCCGAGCCCGCGAGGAGCTTGCGAAACACCGCAAAAAGGAATTTAGGGCATATGCCAAATAAAGTTCAATGACGCATAGTTGAACAAATACAGACGCGCACGTGAAGCTGGGTACTACACTGGAGACATGTGGAAATAGAGGTTTTACATTTTTATTAGAATAGTATATTTGCACATATTGTCTCAAAATAAATCAAATCAAACTTTATCAATTTATTTTACATTTAAGCAGCAAGGCATTTCAAAGTGCTTTACATCATAAACACAAAAGTCGTTCATCCTGTTTTCTGGATTTTTTTTTTAGCTTTTTCAAACCTTATTTTACTCAAAAATGTGTGAAAAATATATAGATTTTTGCTGCCAAACAGGTCTGAAATAGTGAAATAGATGTTTTTAAAAATCATAGGTGTGGTGCAATAGCAACATTAAGAATTACAGGGACTATAGTAAGTGAAAATTTCCACTCTGGTATATAGAATATTTTACTGATGTTTCTATTTCTTGGCAGTGTTTCAAATCAAATTGCAAAAGTTATTACTCTAATTTCACCACTACTTCAAATTCAGCTTAAAAGGTAAATAGTGACAATATGTAGGGCATAATCTAAAAGCAATCCATCTCTGATGCACATGACAGTTATTGAGGTCCACCTCAATTACATAAGATAGTTGATGGTGTTGTTATTTCACTTTTCTAGTAAAAAGTGAAATATAAGTCTGCCAGCTTTGTACAGAGAAATATCATATTGAGATACAAAAATTATCTTACTGAACATTGGGTGATCATTTCCATGTAACCCATTTATGGCTTGCAAGCAACTTGACAATGCAGAGGAAATGCTTCCTTTTTTGATGAAAGTAAAAGAGTCAGAGTGACGCAAAAGGAGGAGTACGTGGACCAGGCTGTAACCACATTCTCCATGGAGATGAGGGCATCCCCAGCAATGTGGGGGTGGAAGAAGACAACAGACTCTTATGATCATCAGAACCACCTCAGTGGGTTATTATTGGTTTAATAACCCACTGAGGGATACAAACAATGAGCCAGTTATAATTGTACAAGTTGAATCCACCAAATGTTGTCGGTAAAGCCTTTAGAAGAAGATTTGGTTTTCAATTCAATTACAACTTACTCTTTTTTTTATAAACTATTTAGTATATGCTCAGTGCTGACTCACTTCACTATCATTTTTGGAGCAATTGTTGGTGCTGTTGTTCAATTGTGATTTAGAGGTGAACATTTTTTGTGTTCTTAATCCAGGCATATGTCCTGTCCCACAGTGAGTAAGAAGGGAAAAACATGTCTAAAGTTAACTTGACATGACACTTTGGGAGTCACCAAGTCTCCATACTCTCTCCACACAAAGCGATTGAATGGGAGTGATGCCAGAAAAAAAATAATTAATTTTATTAAGAAAAAAATAATTGCCTTTTTCTTACCAACATAGACAAACACAGCTGGCCTGTCCTGCATGTGTTATAGCTGCACACCTGGATTGAATGAAAGGATGACATGCATGAAGGAATGTTAAGAGGTAGCGCAGTCATTTGAGTTGTGCTGATCTATTTAGGATAGATCAGAATAAGTTAATGAGCATTAACTTATTCTTATTTGAGCTACTTTAATTGCTTAGGAGACCTTGTCACAAAACCACAATGAGATACAAGTCGGACACACAACAATAGATTATCACACCAGTTCCAAAGCTGTGTGTGTGCAAACGAGCCACAAATAACTCACCGGGGTTGTGTGGGCAGTAGAAGAGAGAAGCTTACTGCACACTCCCACAGGATAAAACATTCTGCAGTCTTTGCCTCCCACCCTCACATCCACTTGTGCTATTTCCACAGTTTGAACGTCATTAGTACAGACCCCAGAGGCTAATATTGTGAGCTAATATCCCACTGGGCTAAATATACATATCTTCCTTGCGATAACCGTCTGCTAACTCCCGGTCTTTCTTTCCAGCGAAATAAACACCGAATTTATCCTGTTATCTGACTCAACACCCCAATATTTATTCGCAAGCATAATAATGTTGAACATTGCCTGTAAACATATATTCACCTGTAAAAGGACCACAGTTGGATGGGGAAATATTCTCAGTGAATAGTCAGACTCAAGCTCAAATGTAAGATTTTTCAGCATAAAATGTCAGAAGAATTTCTCACTCCAAAAATGTGCAAGTTCCTGAATGAAAGTTGGATAAAGTATCACAATTTTCTCCTAATCTTAGTTTGGTCTTATCTGTGGAAGCTGTTGTCAATAATGCTGCACTCTGGACGCCCTGGTAGAGATATGAATTTATTTTAAGACTGTACACATATTTATAGGGGGCAAGAATTATAATGGTTTCATAGTTTCATCTTGGTGCTGCAGGTGTGAAATTTAATTTGATACATTATACAAACTTATCAGATATTAAAAATGTTCTTATTTCATTAATACATTTTCTGATAATTAATAATAGGGTTGCAGCATTTCATCATTTTGTGATGTTTTTATTAAATTGACACTGATTGATTTTGTGATTACAGTAATGCTATTCTCTGCACATAAAAGGCTGTCATTCCCTTCTTGTTTAAAAAAATGAGTACAGAGTTCTTGCTTGAGTGTGGTCGTAATATCCCCTTATAGAGTTCTTCCACGTCTGCAAACACATTTCCTCCTACATCCTGTTTGCCAGTGAGGTGGAGGCTGGTGAGTATGCACGTAAATGAGAAATGTAGAATTCTGGTGCACAATTGACGTAAGCCACAGATGGGTCTGTCTGTTGATCACAGGATGCATTTAAGCTCCTGCCAAATCTACTTGCTAATGAGAAACCGATCAGCCTTGTCAAGTTATCCTCCATCCACATTGTACAGCAACGTAAACCTGCCTCTCGGAACAGGTTGAAGCAGGTACGACTCAGGCAGGTCTATCGGAAACCTACATCAAATAAAATGATAAAATATTAAAAGTGAAAATTGTATAAGAAAGACAAAATCAATGAACTAAAAGACATCACCAGATATGGGATTTTTCATGTCCAGTCATGGCTAAAAATGAGTAGAAGTTAAGCTTGTTAGCATGCAGATAAATTTAAACCCATTTTTCTGAGTTGTCCTGCTCTTGGGATCAGCTTGTCCTCTGTCCTTCTTGACACCATTTAGCTGAAAACAGGATGTCTGAAGCCTCCCACAGTCAGTGAAGGAATCTCTTGACACCTTACAGCTATTGAGATAATGGGAAACTCTTTGTGATTGCAACATTTTTTGGATGTGTGAAGCTATGCCGGCACCTCTCTTGTTCCGTGCTGTAGTGGAACAAACAACTGATTAAGATATTTTGAGGGCGGACATTGCATCCCCTAATAGGGCTTGCCTCAGTCTGTGAACACTCTCCCTCCAACAGGGAATTTTTCAGCAATACGTGGGCAGGTGACAATTCACGTAAATTGTGGTGCAAACATGACGCAGGCCACAGATGGAACCGACTACTGATCAGAAGAAGCGTTTCAGCTCCAGCCAGAATCTATGTGCCAAAGAGAAAGTATCCAGTATGCTCTTGTTTTGAAGAAAAAAACCTTCCTTTTCCCCAGACTCTTCAGCATCCACACCCTCTTTGAGAACTTCTCACATGTTGACATGAAAGCAATAGAAATACCCACCTTATGTGCCAAATATTAATAACATTGCAAGAGAATATGAAAATATTGTGGGTGTGCAGTTATTTTTTCGCCCACATATGTATTTTCATTTAAATTATAGCTGGTGAAATACACATTGAACATGTCAGCTTTTTATTAGTTTAAATGAGGTCATTCACAGAAAATTCACACCAAATGTCAACAACCCAGATATCCCACACATAAAAAGTAATCAAAGCAAATCAGTCTTCAGATTAAATTAATGGTTAAATAATAAGTGTATAACAGAAAATGCATCAAATGTCAAGAAATGAATGTGTAAAAAGACAAAGAAACCTCAGAAAAAACTGTTCAAAAGCTTTTTTGCTATTTGTAAAGGAATCTGCTAGTTTAGGTTTGTCACTAGAAAGTATTGGAGTTTTATGGCTGGCAAAGCAAAAACATTTTTCCAAAAATCGTAATGTTTCAAAATATTAAGTGATTACAGATGCATTTCTAAACTTCTGAATGTACCATTCAGAAGTTAGTGTTAAAGCCATAATCCAGAAGAAAATCACAGTGAACCAGCTGTAAGCATGGTTACCCTCATAACATTTCTGGTGCAGAAAAATGGAAAATTTCAATCAGGATTTGTCCAAAAACCAGACTGTCAAACAGTTTTTGTGAGTCTTGAAATGAGCATGTACAATTTTATCCGTTGAAAATTACAAGTAATGCCCTC